TTCATTTCATGATTCGTATACGTATGCATACCTCGAAATCCGTTTAGCGTTGGAAAATTTTATCCTTATTTAGCCGATCTTGCTGATTCAAGAGATACGACAAGTTAAAAGGTATGTACTGCCGTATATAATGCGATGCCACAGATGATTTAATACACGATGCGGTCACAATTATGTCTCATGGTAATCCAATGTATCCACTATGGAAAAGGCCCGCCATATTTAAATTCCTCATATTCCTTAAGTTTAATCCAAGAATATCGAATTTTTAAGTGGGATGGAAGAATTTGGAGCAGAAGCACAGAAAAAGACCGAGTCGTTCCTGGGCAGACTTTCGATCCGTTCCATTAGGGGTTTCAATATTATTAATTTCGCACTGGTAAAAAGTAATTCAACATTATTTACCATTATCTCAAGGCGTTCCGATATCTGCAGCGCAAGCTCTAGCTCAGTAACAGCAAATGAAACAACATTATTGAAAGCAAGAAGTAAAAGTATGCGAAGAAGGTCAGGATTTCCTCAAAATATCGGAATGTAGAAGCGGGATAGTCCGGTTTTTGTCTTCGTATACAAGATCAACCGGCAGAACGATAACAACCCATGATACAAGGAACGCCCTTCCGCTGCTTCTACTACTACTCTATTATTACAGCGGATCAATAATGCCGTATTTCGCCGTGTTTATCACGTTGTGTCCCTCCTCCATGAGTTTCAGGGAAGTGATTCGATACATGGCAGGAAATTCGTGTACATACAGTGGACTGTAAAAACCTGTTACATTCGGTCCGCGACCGAATGACCAGTAAAAGTAAATGGCCGAGACCAAATGACCAATAAACGCGAAACGCGCAAGACTTTGAACACCTGCATCTTGCGCATTTCCCAACGAAAACTATCAACCGATATCTCAAACGGGAGAGAACAAAATTTCAAGAATTTTGATACCAAACGTGTCATCCTTTATGAGGTCTAAGAGAAAATCGAGCCATTTTAGTTTGTCGTAGACGAAGCATACGATTTCTGTGTGAGATCACTGAGAACTGGAGACAAACAGTGCATTCAAATCTTATGTTATGTCTACGAGAAACTTTAGGTGGGTGGATTTTCTCTTAGATCTCACTAAGAACAACCTATATGGTATCAAAATTCTTGAAATGTTTTTCTCTTTCTTTTGAGATATCGATTGATGGTTTTCGTTGGGAAATGCGCTAGGAGCAAGTGTTAATATCAACAGGCCGATGGCCAGTTCCGAATTTGCCTGTTAGAGTACAGAAAAGTGCCTGGTTGCGCGCGTTGTAACACCTTTTCGCAGTCCACTGTAAACGACAACATGCGCATTCGCGTACTCTCGAACACAATTTTGCAATGCCTTATAACATTGTGTAGCCAGATAATTCGTACACGTATATTGGCGTGAAAACCGTTAGTGCGCGCAATATTCGGTTGGGAATTAGGGTTGCAAGAAAAGTCCAAAAAGCCTAAACGCATTGAGGCATACCAAGAGTCTCTTTACTAACCGATCCCCTCCAAATTTAGCAAGAAAACACAAAACGCACATATGGTAAAATATTCCTTAAATCATTGAGTCGGTGCACCCGCTTGCGTTCACAAATTCTGGAATTTTATTTCACCCTTAACTCCCCAAGGACCCCACGAAGATGTTCCGCGCTTAAAAGGTCTTCACGCGAATATACACAGTTAACCGTTTGTACAAAATATCATAAAACAATACAGTAAAGTGTTTGAGACGACGCGAAAGGCAGGGTTTTGTATCTGTACACTCTTTTGGTACCATGTACCGGTGTGTATTTCATCTTGTAAGATACGAATGTTTAAAATTTTTGAAATTCGGTTAAAAATATAGTAAAAGATGCTGCGGTTTGCGGTTGGGTGTTAGAACAATTTTCGTACGTTGTTGGTTAAGAATGACCCGTAATGAGGGAATATTATTTCACCCGTGAGTACCCAACCGGTTGTTGCGCTCCAAAAAGGTTTTCCGTGCATGTATCGTACACGAATTTGGTACCATGTACCGGGTCAGTTCCCTACTGCCAGACTGAGCTACTGGCTCAGACAAATGGAAGAATACGGCAAAATATTATAATATTAACTGGCTACGTAATGATAGTGTTATGCGCGATGGAATGCCCATCAATAATGCAGAGCGAGCATACTCGTAATGTCGGAGTCAGCCAGCAGCCTTCTGAAGTGTACCGATTGCTGCTGAATACCACAACGATGCGCGATGTACTCTAGACGTTAAAGGTCGTCTGCAGCAATTTCGCTTTGTTAATATACCAGCAATAGCGGTATAGAGGGTCTAGGACGTTATCGTGAAACCGAACTCCGTACCCGAAAACCCATGGTTGGGGTGCGTTACGTCGTCCAGGGCGTTTGTACATAAAGCCAGCTCTTCCCAAATTGCCTTACGATTAACTCCCACGTTCCGGGATCCGGTCCAGTTTTTCTTTACTGAGCTTTCCGAGGGTTTTCGAAAAGATCCCGCGTTAGGAACATCCCCGTTGCCCCATATTAATGCAGCGGGTCGCGGATGTTCCGAATGTGCTCCGCGGATTAACGTCGCGCCTCTATTTGCCCAGTGCCTCAAGATAACAGTGACGACGATAACCGCGTTTCCGAAAGCGCATGCTTTAATTGCGCATTGATGGCGATTGTCGTACGCTATGTTATAGAAGGTACCGCACGTGTAGTCGTTAATCGCTGCTGTGCAGTTTTGAAATACAGTTTTCATACTTTCTGGTTCGTGTGCAAATCGTAAACGATAGCGAATAGTTGTCTCAAATTTTTCCTATTTTTTTACGTATGATAGGTATGATCTATCAGGGACAAGCAAACCCGCTACCACATTCAGGGTTTATTCAGTTATCTTCCCATGCAGCTCACCGCAGAACGGCCAAACAGCTGTACAAGACGGCCACATTTAAGCGCGTACAAATCACATTAACATTCTCTGATCAAACAGTAAGTAAACACCTTCAACACGTAGACATACATGACGGGACTTTATTGGCAGGAAAGCTTTAGGAAACGGCCTGGAAAAGGCATTTCTTATCTTTGCTGCAGGCCTTCGGGAAACAGCATATCTCCTTAGCGCACTTGACACAACTGCTGCCCGCCTGGGTGGGGATGATCTGTCATAGAGAAATGCAAAGATGAAAATAAAAATTATTATGTTTTTATTACAACAACGTTTGGAAACGTTTTTTTCAATACAATCAACGCTGTACAATATAAAAATATCATTTTTATTATGCTGCAATATAAAAATATCATTTTTATTAAAGCGCTGATAAAACACCAAAAATGTCGTTAGTAATTACGCCTTACCAAAGCACACACGGCGACGACGAAAAGCAAGAACCAGCGGAGAACATTCATGGTGGAAAATATACTATTGCCAGTCAGGAACACGTAGTGCTACACAATTACATACACTAGCGCAAAATCAGTCGTACAAATTTTCTTCAACTGAAAATTCGTTAGTGAGGCTCTTGCTTTTTATAGTTTCGCCAAAGCGCCTGCTGTCCGGCTCGTAAAGACGCATCCGGTTTTCGTTAGAGGAATCTTCCATTCAGGCGCTTACGTAATGAGCTGTGTAAGCCGCTGCCAATTCATTAAGCGCGCTTGATGAGACTATTGTTTTTCCAACAAGCTAGTATCCGCCAAGTGAGTTATTATTCTGACAGCTTCATTCACATTTTCACCTCCAGTTCATGCTGCTGCGCGGCAGTATGAGTTGCAGAAATTTTCCATGCGACAGCAACAAACACTCACTACTACACTGCACTTTTAATGTTATTTGTGTATTTACCGGTAATCATGTGTATATACATGACCTGGAGTTATTTTGACGAGCGCCCTACTCGTAGTGCATGTTGTTGTTTCCACAACTTCGGCTCATTAATTAGGAGAAGTTCATTCACTGGAATTCAGCGTGTGTTGGAGACTTGGAGTGCTGTTGACTGAATGAAACAGCATGTTGTGTGGCATCAACAGTGAACCAGTACGTTCACACGCGTAAACAAGTTACCACTCACTATTAACAAATTTTTTCGGCAATGACAGTCACAATGAACAAAATGAGCTTTGCATTCATGAAATTGTTCTTGTTAGGTTTTATGAATAGAGTAAAACGAATTTTAAATTATTATTAATATAAAAGTTTAAAATGTTGCATGGTATTTTCTGTTATTTTTTAGTTAGCTGTGTACTCATCAGTTAATATGCGATCCGTCGTGGGAACTACTGAAAAAACACGTTTTGAGAAATTTTAATACCCCCTGATATGTGAACTGTAAAGACTATTTATTGGTCAAATATCTGTGCACGGCCAGGGACGTTCACACACTCGATTTGTTTTTTATCTGGAGCAGGATTTCGACTTACTCATTTTGCTAAACTGTTATCCCAACGACAAGCATCAGTTTTCGGTTTGAAAGCCTTTTGGCAGGATACGTAAATCATTCACTATCTTACGCGGGCTTCTCGTGACGCATTGTCTATTCGAAAATGCGACGTTCATGTACATAACTGTGCAAAGTGCCCGCAAAAAAAGTAAAATCGGCAATCGCAGGCTGTGATCAGATGTAACAAACCATGCATGGTTTAACTTTAAGGGGTGTGCGTAATATTGTGAAAGGTCACGATAGATGCAGTGCTCTAAGCACAGTGCCGCAGCCCGTTACTGCCGCTTTGGTATTCATCTATGAACTTATGCCGATCCAAATACGTGTACAGGTATCTGCTTGAAAGATAAAAATGCTAGACACCAGAATGATTTTATTTACATGGCTACAAAAGCAGTAACTAAAAACTTTCAACCATTTTATAAATGCACTATAAAACCAATCCTCGATGCTACAAAAGGTAAAAAAATACTGACGGAGTTGTTAACGGCTGCAAATAACAAAATGCACTTAGCGAACTGGGCAACGCTTGATAATAGCTAATGACGTACCGTTAACGAGCAATAACAGATGCAAGCGAACATATTTTTATTTATGCATACAAATTCCATTCGGCTGCGTAATTACAACATGTCTGTACAGAATGTAAGCCTTGCGTATAAATTAACAAAAAAAATACTCTGTACAAAGTACAACAGCTCAATCCTTTACGGTGGATTGACCAACATAATTGAGACGCAGATGCGGTGTTAATTAATCACTCAAAGGGACACTTCTCGCCACGGGCCACCGACTGCTTACAATTTCCTACGCACTTTTTGGATGTCTTGTAGCTGTGGCATTTATGCGGCGAGCAGCAGTCTTTATCGCTGTCGCATTTAGCCCAGATCTCCTTGGAGCAGGCCTCGCTGGGAACGATCACCTAGAAAATAACGTCAACGATTAGGAAAGAACCGTATACAGTAGACACGGTGTAACCATATTGGCCAGGTGCATCATAAACTTGCTGTCCTTTAATTATTGTAACGTCAGAAATCTCCAGCATTACATACACGTAACTGCAGAGCTTACCAGAGCGCATACGGCGACGATCAACAATACGAACCAGTGGAGAACCTGCATGGTGAAGCCGTCTGTTCGCAACACAGTCAAAAACGGGCAACAGTGCAACGTGCTCTGAGCTGAAAACCAATAATTGTAAATCTTTCAGACTGATCTGGTTTTCTGCAGTATTTATATACCGGCTTGTCGTACGTTTTCACGACCAGCGCCCCTAATTGGCTGGCAAACCGGTATCCGCGTCGCCAGTGGAAACTTCCATTCGGTCAAAAAGCAACATTTATTGCTGCAGCATTTCGTCAGCTGGCGTTTCTCTCGTTTTTTCGTGACAGGCGCATTATGACGATATTTTGATTGGTATTCGGACGAAAGTACACGAGATGCCAGAGTTTTTGTGAGCGCTGTTGCCCAGGGTTTAAGCTCAGTTTCAATGCAAAGGCCGGTTTGATTATCTGGCCATTTTCTCCGCGTTTCTTCTATGTAGTAATTTAAGGAGTGGCGTATAGGTTGACCGCTGTATATCTCTGATCACTAGAAGTCCGCCCTGGGCTGATGGCCTAACACATAGTAAGGCAATCAATAACAAACACCCAACAATGCCAACAACAACTCTTACTGTTAAATGATTAAGAAAATACGGGAGCCAAATACTGTGACACATATTTCTGCATAACTTCGTTTGTACAATATACTGTACCTGCCCATTCTGTTGTATATACCGACGGAGACTTTGTGATTTTTCACTAACAGCGTTTCGGAACCTGAACCGGTATTCTCAAATTAATAATGTGCATAATTTCATCTGGTTGTGAGTGTTGCGCAAGATTGCCTTTTAGGTGTTGCTAATGGGGTTGTGATACAGTTGAAATTATTTAGTAGTGTCAGTTTGCCGCAGATTGTCGGTAAAATTGACGTGGTTCTCGAATTATGTGAATGAATACTATATTTTCATTGAAACATTTGAAAGCTCAAAACAACAAAACAGCGAAACTGTGTTCTCTCAGAATGTGTGCAGGGTGTGCTGTTGTGTTCGGTACTACATTCAGTGTAAAAATGCCATCGCGCAATAAATGCAAGCTATCAAACTGAACATGTTGCTTACGGCTATCGCCGCTCGGCGCTCGAAAACAAACAGTCCGTTGCATGCTGCTGTACTATGCGGCATGCATTCTGCATGGTCAACATGCCGGTTGCGGATACTAATTGGAAAACAATACCCACATTAACTGCGCCTCATTAATACTGCCAACACGGTTTACAAAGGCACTTTTGTGAAAACAAATCTGTTTACGTAAACAGTTATCTCGTACAGTGGAATTATCCGGTTTCAAAAAATCGTACACTACTGTGTTGAAGCATTTATTTAATAAGCGGGGCCATGGCAGTGGCGCACACGATGAGTTTTCTAAAACACAATTTCGCGATTTATTGCTGTAAGTCTTAACGATTGATTTCAAATCCTCTGTGATACTTGTACGTCGTTCGTCAGTGATCCGGTTTTGTGATTTGCACTACTTCGCCGCATCGCAAATCGCCATGAATTTCCTTCGCTGGTTTCTACTTCTCGTCGTGGGAGTGTGCTCTCTGGTAAATCAACACAACGAAATTAGCAGTACTTTGTGCAGTATTTCGATAGCACACGGATGAAAAAATTACAGTGCAGTTGGTGATGTTTGTGACTATAAGGTCTGCATTCTTCTTCGTTTTGATGATTGTGCATTGCGTTGCGATAGATCATCCCTAGCCAAGCTTTTCCCGAATGTCACAAGAAGGTCAACGAAGAGTGCGGCAAGACGCACACCTGCTGTTTCCCCCTGGTATGCCAGAATTTCAAGTGCAAACCCCATCCGCCCTCCTGATCCATCTTCTACCTAAACCGACTACTGGTGGATTCTTTTAATAATCACTGCTAATCAAAGCGTTTCATTGACCATTAATGTGGGGCCACGTGTAGTCGTGGTTATAACTGTTGGCTGTTGCAGCTGATCTAGTTTCCAATAATTGTGTTATTTGTGTACAGATACATGTACCGTTCATTGCGCAGCCATCAGACAGCGATACCGATAAATGCTGCAACGCAAAATTAAAGCCGCAAACAAACATGCTATGCAGTATGCATTTTTGATACATAACTATTAAATTAAATTATTAGTGTGAATCTAACAGTTTTATAAGACGAAAACGCATCATATACGAGTACTTCCGCCGCGTGGACAACTTTAGCGCCGACGAGCTGCTACTCACACGGTTAAGATGTGATCTTTTTAATTTTGTTACGAATCCGAATGACTTGTGTACAGGACAGCCGCTTTGGGAGGATGTGGACCTAACTGCCGATACATAAACCGTGATAAACTTATAATATCTGTATCATGTATGTATGTGTAACCCACATTCCGTGTACGTCGTACGTATTTTGCTTGGTACTGGAGCTGGGTTTAATTGGGGCTCAGATCCAGATTTCACTGCACTTCAAGCACCACCTGAATCGTCGAGATCCTCGACACTCGCATTATTTCAGCATCTGATACACTGATTCCGGAGCATAGATACAGCGCCGGAATATCTACACACTGCGGCTGACCAAACAGTCAAACTCCGATGAATTTATGCCAGGACAACGTACAGCACTTGTTCGTTCATCCCAAAGCAAAACGAAATTAATTCACATTTCCGCTATACATTGCAATACCAAAGCCGGATACATTACTAAATTTTTTAAGACCCATCCATTAAATCAAACAATGCGTTCCGCGTATTAAATTACGTAAAACGCAGTCGATGATTTATCTTCACTATCTGCACATTCTACAACAATTATTAAAGTAGTTAGAACTGCGAACACGTAGCGGGTAAATCACCATCGCAGGTACATTAAAACGTTGAAAATCCACCACAGAAAGTGGACTATACCAATGCCGTAAACAGCTCGCACCTTCTGGGCCGGACCGCAATATCTCGGGAGCAGAGTATGTGTCGCACATTCCCGGCTTCCTCGTTCCGCGGCGATATTGATGTGCATATGATAGTTGCCGCGAGCACTTACTAGAACTTCCTTGCCGCAACTCTTTCCTTTCCTTGCAGTCCGTGATTTTCCAACGCATAAAGCAGTGGTACCGCGGCGCAATGAGATTTTACTATTTGATTGATTGTTGCTTAATAAAAAGAAATCATGATTAAGCCGCAGCCATGACCTTTAGCATTTATCATATCTGTCTAGCTCGTATCCTGCTGGATGCGTATTGTGGTCCAGCGCTTTCACGGCATACCCGCCGCCGAATTAGAGCCGGTGGTACATCGATCTGCGGATTTAGAGAAGCTGGACACCATCCACGAACGCATGGAGTCATGCGTCGGCCTACCCATCCTGCTGCAGTTCAGCCATACGACCTTCGCCGGCGACCACGGAGGTGGCCACGGCCAGCGAACAGAAAGTCGACAGGATGCTGACCAAGAGAGAAGCTCTCTGTTGTACATATTGGGAATAGAATTTTTTACATTTCCTTACACTTACCCTCTTATAAGTAAGCACCAATACTGTACCAGTACTTATGTACGTAATAATATATTGCAGTACTGCCTTTTAGCTGCGCTCTGGGCTCCGAGACGGTCGGACCGCCAGGAAGCTATCCGTAAGATAACAGTGGTGGGAGAGAAAATTCAACAGGAAACCGGCGAAAAGCGGGCCACAGAATTTCTGCGCCTGTGAATCAGTATCGAATTCCAACGTGGCAATGCGGCATGTTTATCTTGGGAACGGCATCGATATAGGGACAAACTCAGATCAAGTGTTCTCTTTGATTAGACCGCATGGGTCAGTTAATGCTGAGCAATAAGCGATGTTTCTTTAGGCCGCAGTTTAGGCTTTATGACAAATGTACAGTACAATTAAGAATTAATCGTAAGGAGTACCAGTACTTTCACATAAGTTAGTAAGCACCAATTCCTGTAACTAACTGTCCACCGTAATACTGTATGTGCCGGTGACGGAGAGATCAGTACGATAGGAATAATTACCGCAATAATCTATCCTACCGACCTAACTCAACGACAGAGAATGAGCTGGTATCTCAGTGTGGCATAGCTAAGCCTACGAATCTACGCGAAGCGAGAACTGCATCTCCGACGATATTTAATTAATAACTCCGAACACTGCCAAACTCATAATGAGAGAACTGACCCTCTAAAATACTGCCACTCACGGACTTATATAGACACGGCGCATCCGTGTAGAAACCAAACCAAAAGTAGATCCGAACACAAAAGAGAACGATCGAGAATGTACAGCGATAATAGAAAGTACGAGTAAAGCCGTCACTTTACGTACTGTACTGCTATATTCCGTCACCGGTACAATACTTACGCGACTACTTTTCCTCGTTCAAATTAATTTTAATAGAATCACGGAAGTGGGTACGCGCATTTGCGCAGACAGTGAGATAAAAATGTGGAAGCGCGAAAACTGTATAGCCTGCGAAGATGCCTGGCGTCCGATGAACTTATTAACTCGTTTATTAATCGAATAATTGTGAGATCAACGAAAATAAACATGGTTTCGCTGCAGAAAGTGCTGAAAACATGAAAACCGAGCCGAGCAGATTGCCTACAGTCCAGCCGCTCCGGGGTGAATGCATGCCCATAAACAGGATAAACACACTTCACGCCCCGCGTTCTGTATACTTCAGCTCGGCAGTGGCGCTCGTTTGGGCTGATATTTTACTGCGCTCCAGGCGCCAAAGCGAATTTTATAGAGATTTTCCAGTCTTCGCATTAAATTTCATGATTTTCAGTTTTCATCCTCTGAATGTGAATCTCCCCTTCGGATTACTGCACAGGATCTGCATCGTTTGATGGAGGGTGTTTGTGTGTTTTCCTTGTTATAATCCCAGTGGCAGAAAATACCCAGCGAAGTTTTGCTGTCTGATAGCGCGCACTCTGCACGGACCTGGTGATTGCAGTACCTTCGGTGAGCCCTTTTCTCGTTTTATCAGCTTTTATGGCTTTAGCAAGTATTGCAGGAATTATTTCGCCAACGATGGTAAATCCTGATCTTCGTCGTAATTTGTACAGTATGCGTGTGTATTTCGAATGATTCAGATTGCGAATTATCATGAGAAAATAGTGTTAAAGACTTAAGTACTTACTCAAACAGCTAAACTTAAACGGTAGCAGTAACATTACTGCCGTAACAGTTCATGAAAACTGCAGTAAATAAGAAAACTAATGGTAAGGAATTGTAGTGTGCTTGATACGGTTTGTTTCCTTTTTGGTTGGTGTCAATTTGCAGCTATAAAGAGGCGTTTCGGTATTTACTACGCATTTCGAGCTTCCGTTGCGACATAATTTCTTGCGTACCATTTTTTCTAAATAACGCATTTCATTTTTTTAGCAATCGTTTTATCATTATTCATTTCGTTTTACAGTCATTTATTATTAGCTACAGCATATATATACTTACGTTGGTTTTTTATGTGCTGCCTTATATGGTTTTATTATCTGCTTATTATTATAATAATGGTAACACCATAATATTATTATAGCATTGCAGATAAAATAATTACTGACATATTTTTATAAAATATGAAATAATTAAAATAGTCAGTATAACGGTGACGGTCGAAGGAACAGTTTTACTGCTGAACTGAAAAAATTCGACAATTTATTGGTGTCTCCGAATTCTTATCTCCCGCATTTAACTAATATCCCGCCGCTTTGCCGACAAAATAATTACTGGCAATATTTTTTAAGAAAATATGAAATAATTAAGATATGTAGTAAGTATTATTGCGAAGAATAATTCTACTTCTGAATGAATAAAGTATTGTACTGTAATTCATAATTTATTGGTTTCCATCATCGTCATTTAAAATCCCGTTTTTCTGGCGACAGTTTATCCCGTTGTTTTAATCCGGCGCCATGTCCATCGTGTACCGCAGCCTGGTCAACTCAGCCGAGCGCTTCGTTCCGGCCCGCCTGCGCCCCATCTGGGAGCACCCGGCCGGTCCCAAGACCATCCACTTCTGGGCGCCCCTGGGGAAGTGGGCGTTGGTCGTCGCCGGGCTGGCCGACGCCGCCCGTCCCGCCGAGAAGCTGAGTCTCAACCAGTCGCTGGCGCTGACGGCCACCGGGTTGATCTGGTCGCGCTACTCCCTGGTCATCATTCCCAAGAACTGGAGTCTCTTCGCCGTCAATATGTTCGTGGCGGCCACGGGGATATCGCAGCTGTACCGCATCTGGGAGTACCGCTCCACGGCGCCCACCGGGCCGGTGATTGAGCCGGTGGCGGTGGCCGTGGTGGAGGATGCGCACCACCTCCCGGGGATCAAGCCGGGACATGGGAAACATTGACCCGGGAATCTGTGGAATATTTAGCGATTATTCCAGCGAAATATGTTTTAGAATTTTGGGTTTTATGGGAATGCGGTTGCGGAAGCGCGTTTGTCTGGATTTCGGGCAGTTTAGTGTTTTACATCAGTGAGAAAAGTTGGTCAAATGAATTTCTGAGAAGTGAATTGGTGGCACTTGTCTGAGGTAGCTGGTATTTTATTTTAATAAAATTTATTGCGACGGTGATGCAGTGTTATTCTTCCCTTCGACAGACTATCACTTGCATGGGAATTTTCGAATGTTCGAAGCGCACTGGCGCCCAGAATTGCCATTTGAAAAAAATAATAAATGAAGCCAGTTTTAATATTAAATTTTTGCTAGAGAAATTTCGACAACATTTCTGAAACGTATTCTATGTACATAAAACAAGTTTCGTAGCTCTCACCTCTGCACCCCGGATCTCCATGTATTGTACTGTACTTTATAATAAGCACTATTATTTCTTTCAAACACAAACTGCACAATCAGCAGTATCACAATATTAATCTAATAAACACCATTTTTTAAAATTTTTTCTACTGTACAAAATATCCGCGTAACTTCACCAAAGCATCTTTCTTTAAAAGAAACTATCGTCTGTACCTGGCGCAACTATTTATTCTAACAAAAAATTTCCGGCTGGATTGTTCACGGTGCATCGTCATTTATTATGCAGTTGGCCGCAGAAACTGAGCACGATAAAAAGGCACTGAATAAATTTATTTAAGTTAAGACATCTCTCATCAATTCTCATCACTTCTAAAATCACCGTTCGGCGTACTTAATTACGTATAAAATAATCAACAAAAGTATACCAACTTATCAATCTGTCACACCGATCTGGAAATAAAAGGCCAAAACTATTTCAGCATCCACTAAAAAATTTTGTGCATCAATCAACAACAATACAAAAAGGCACACTGAATTATCCCAACAAAACCATCAATAATTCTTCCTGTAAAAAATCCAAACATCCAAATACTGTAAAAATTCAATGCTTTTCCTCATCCCAGTATATTTTCTGCAATATTCACCATCCACCGGACCGTTCTTCCGACGAGCGGGACGACGACTCCACCGGCGATCGTCGCGTCCGTCCGTCGCCCTTCCCGGCCGACGGCGGGGTGGCGGTCGACCGGCGACTCTCTTCGTCGCGGCAGTAGAACGGCGCAAACAGCGCCGGCATCTTAACGGACTGATTCAGGTTGAGATACCAGAAATCGGCGGGATAATTCACCACCAACCCGGCGTCCACGTCGGACATCGTCTCCGAAGTGTGTTTGTTCACAAATTCCACTGCAACAGTCGAATAGGTGGTAACTAAATCTTCCACGACATTTTCAAAATAAAAAATAACCACTAACTACATAGACACCAGTCGGAATCGAAAACTGCAATTCAGCACTTTTTCAAAGAGGATGACTAATGCCAGTAAGCCACCATACTACGATACTTTCCGCTAAATAATATACGAGGACACACTAAGTATACGTGATAGACAAAAAATTAAGCGAGAATAAGTGATAACCATGCCCGGCTCATGCAACGCGGGCAACCACCCAGGTTTGCAGTTGCTTGTAAGCACATAAAAAATGACTGACTGAAAATTATGCAAACTTTCAACGCTGATTTCTCGTGCACTCTGGAACGTGACTATTCAACCAATATAACAGAAGACGCAGAAAAAAATAACACGATTTTTTGATACCAAAGAAGTGAGAAGATACGCTGATTCAAACAGATTACAGCTATTTTCATTTTCTCGTAGACTGAGCATAGAATCCACGGTCAAGGGTTCCCCACACAGAATCCTATGCTATGTCTACGAGAAACTCAAAAACGCTATCTCTTGTCTTAATCGCTATAAACTGCAACTTGTTGGGTATCAAAAATCTTGTAGTTTTTTTCTGCATCTTTTGCTACATTGGTCAAATTGCTTCGTTCCATAGCACACAAGGAATGAGAGCTGGAAGTCAGCATACGCGTCTATGAAGACGAGCTGAAGACGTATACGCGTCTATGAAGACGTATACTGAATCGAAAGACAGCAATAATAGAACGACAAGTATAGTATACTAAGTCTAGTCTAGCGGTCGTGGCAGAAAGGAATTGTGATTTTTACTGGAATTGTTTCGCTTTTTGTAGGTGTCCAGACCTACGCCACGAGCGACGCAGTACAGAAAGCGATGGGGAAAGTGTTCGAGCTGGAGTCTAGTGCGTAGTGCGTACGCATTAAATCGGCAATAAATCTAGGAATTTCAAAATTTACCGATGAAAATCAACAATGGCGTCCTCTTACAGCTGTTTAATAGTGATTCTTCCCAGGCATGATTTAGCATTCTCTACAATTAATACTGCAGAATGTCGCTTTAGAGTTTCAATGCTTACGATTAAATTAAGAAAAACAATCTAAATATGATGAATCAAGCCGCACAAACAATAAAAAGTCCGAAATCACTTCAAAAAATTCTGCGTTGGCACTCACCCAGCTGCATCATATCCAGTCCGGCGACATACGCGCCCACACCCTCGGCCGTCTGCACGGTAATATGCGCGCGACTCCCGACCGGCAATCCCGCATACTTGTTGTCCACCTCCGGATTCCACAACGGCAGCTGCTCGTCGTCCAGAATCACCCGGAACGACACGGTCTGCGGCGTGATCAGCAAGCCGACAATCTCCAGCTCGAACACTTTCCCCATCGCTTTCTGTACTGCGTCGCTCGTTGCGTAGGTCTGGACACCTACAAGAAACGAAACAACTGCAGTAAATGTCAAGATCCTCTCCACCGCGCCGCAAGCAGAATCTACATCGACAATAATTTCAAGACAATTTGTGTTTTTCACGATAATATAGCTATTATATTATTGTTTATTTGCCGTCCCACCGTATTAGCATGCAGAGCCAGTAAGGCGAAAATAAAAAAATATAAAAATTCATCAGACTCGACGATCAACAAACTTTCTTTGGCTTATACACATGCTGTGGTAAAATTTTGTAGTACAGCGGCATATTAGCTGCCGTCTTCTTCACGGAATAAGAGTATCCGCAAAATAAATACTATGTCACCGCGTTAAAAATACTTTTGCTGTTGAATACTTTTCATTTTTCATGTGGCTGTTGCCTACTAAAACATCGCCAACTGTAACACAATCTGCACCCGGTCGAGAATCGAGATAAATATTTTCACAACAGTGTAACTTATACCCAAAGAATTAATACGGTACCTCGTAAAAAAAACGGTAATAATGAATAAAATAAAAAATTTCTTATACAAAAATTTACGTATCTGTATAACAAGAACTACGTGTACACAGCTGAGCAAAATAAATCATAAAAGTAATAAATAAAAAGAAAAATAATACAACATGGCAACCGGTAATTTTCCGGTGATAATTTACCCGGTCGTTTTCCATACTGCGTGTAGCAGGCCGTGACATGGTACAGATCTCGCCGCAACGGCCACTCCATCTGCTCCTCCTCGGGCGTGGCCGTCAGTCGCGCGAATAAACTCCCGCGTTGCCCCTCGACATAGCGCCGCACCTCCTCCACCCGCAGCATACTGTTGGCCAGCTTAACGGCCAGCGCCAGCAGCTCCAGGGAGTCGCTGGGCGTCAGAAACCAGCCGTAGTACATGGGGAAGGTGAAGCGCTCCTGCAGACGCTTCAGACGGCCTTCGATGGTCTTCTGGTCCACGCCGTGGACGTTCTTCTTCAACAGGACGCCGACATCGTAGCGCCAAGGGGTTTGCGGTTCCACCAGGAGGTGGTGAAGCCGTGCCGGTGGGCCAGACGGAAGTAGGGCTGGAATTCGCGGAATTCAATGTTGGTGTTGTCCACGATCACCTGTACAATGTTGTAAAATTGGTAAGAAATTGAAAATAAAAACTAACCTCACACAAACAACTAAAATGCACAAGCTAAAAGTCTAAAAACTTAAAATAACAAATAACATGAGTATTAAATAATTACAAAACTAATTTTAAAAACATTAAAATAAGAAACAATAGTAGACCCCGCGCAAACTGCGCGGAATAAATTGGCGATAAATTGTTATTTACGAAAACTACAAAGGACAAACCCATGACTACAAAATACAAATTTAGTTTTATTGAGCGGAGCGTATAATAATAAGTAATAATATAGTTTCACTGGCAGAGACAGACAGTATTTGCCATATACCGTACCTATTTGGTCGCGATCGACTACTTATTATCGTAAATTATTCTTTATTTTGGCCATATAGTTCACTGACATATTAATAGGAGTTAAAATGTATCACAGTTTACTAATTAAATGTTTAGGGCCGCTTTGAGAAAACATTGTCGCGTTCCGCTGACATCAGATTTAACCTTAAATTAGACCCGAAAAATTTGACTCCAGGAATACATGTATGCCTTTTTTTGCAGTTATAAAAAAAAGTTTTTAAGCTTTTCCCAAATCAATCAGCAGCATATGCTGGTCAGTTGTCAAGAACTACAAATAAGAAAAACTCCATAATTATTGGAATTTTTATAGCCGTATTACAGTACTTCTACTGGTTCAGATACCATTCTGAGTTTTTCTAAATTTTAGCCAGTGTGTTGTGACCGACAAAACAATCCAGTGATACGACGGTACGACCACCGATGTTAACCTTTAGACCACTTAGAATAAAAATACTTTCCGGTGTCCAATTTCCTCCTACTGCTTACACACAAAACAATTTAAACTTGATGAAGACTTCAAAATTTCGTTGTATTCTTTGGTGAATTTTTTATCATTAATAAACGTCGACAACTTTAGCGCAGTGTCTTGGTTGCGACCCCCGCTGCAGATAGGCGTCGCCTGTGCCTCCGCTTTCCGTTAGTTGCTTATAAAATTTTCCCGGGTTTTTTATGTTTTGACCTTTGATGGAAGATGATCTGACGGACTGCTTTATAGCTGGCGGAAAGACGATTAGTAAGCGGATAAGTTCGATTTTTGAATCTTCTGTTTGTTTTAAATTTTTTAATGGTAAAAAATGCGTTTTTTGTTTTAATAAAACCGTTTTTCTACGTTCCTTAGTCTTTTGGAAAAATATTTTAACCTCCCCTCCCTCCCCCTGCGGACATTAAAATACGCGTTCCTCACTTCAGTCGCCGGAAAAGACTTGGGCCGCCTTCCCTCCCTCCCCTCCCCCCGGCGGTGGTTAGACTCGAACCCTAGTCCGTACGCCCGGCGGGACTGGGACTCGTTGATTTGCTCAAGCAGTCCACATCATTTCCAGTCGAACACCAAAATTCCCGAAATCGACTTTCAGTCTCTCACAAAATAATATGTTTATTGGCGATTTCCAAAAGAATGTTTATTGGCACGTCAGCACGATATTACCAAAGCCAACCGCGCTGTGGAAGCAGTTTCAATATTAAATCTAATCAACCCGTTGCGAAAGGCAGCTACTTTATCTTTGGAGTTTGAGCCGTTCCCACTTTCCAGAAGATTTCGCATGTTCAGTTTTTAAGAAACATGACTTTCAAAGCCTACATTTTTTTAAAAACTAACTCTTAATCAAAATTTTATGAACTAAAGGCAATCGGATAACTAATGGACACCAAAGCTCCATCAAGTGCTCTGCATAGATGAATGCTTTTCCTGAAGTTTTCCTATGATGTTCATGACGGTGGTGGCGTGGGGGGTTTGCAGTGGTGGGTTCTCCACTTTTCCCATAGACTTTGTATGTTAAGATCTTTTAAGATTTTCTCTGAATCTTCACATACTTTCAAAAAACTGACTGGTTTCTGCAAATCTGTAAGCTAGGCGCTATTGAATGACATATAGACATCAAAGTTTGGTTTAGTGTTTCGCTCACAAAAGGGAGACAGAAATGGAATTCGCTAAGGCTTATTTTATTAATATATAGGATTAAGATTTTCTCTGAATCTTCACATACTTTCAAAAAACTGACTGGTTTCTGCAAATCTGTAAGCTAGGCGCTATTGAATGACATATAGACATCAAAGTTTGGTTTAGTGTTTCGCTCACAAAAGGGAGACAGAAATGGAATTCGCTAAGGCTTATTTTATTAATATATAGGATTAAAGTGCACGAATTAAAAGTCTACAAAATTAATCCACAAAATCAGCAAATAAAAAACAAATAAAACATTACGGGACTGATTAAAAAATTAAAAATAACTGGGTAGGAAATGCAGAGAAAAAAGCGAGCAGCGCAGAAAAAATCGTTACCGTAGAATGGAACCCCGATGAAAACAATTTACAAGAAACTATTATTCACAACACTTTTATTCGTTTTTCAAAGAAATGTAAGAAATAAAGAAATACCGAAATATGCCGCAACGCGGTAAAAACTGCCAAACGGCGAAACAAATTAAAACATATCTGGAAAATGGTAATTCACAAATAATAAAGTGGCAATAAAAAATGACAATGTCAAATCAAATAAAAATTACCTGTTACTAACAAAATTCAATAATTACGCAAACAAAGGCAAACACTGGTAACAGATACGTAAGAGTCACTAAAACTGACTATTAAAAATTAGAATTAAATTCACGGCTATCGAATTAAATGAAGGAAAATAAAACCATACCGGTCCTGACTGCAAAAACGCTCGCACTCCATCCGGCACCACTCATGCACCTCCGGCAGCCGATCCCGTTCGAACCGGTACTCCCCCGCCGGATTGCGCCGCCAGAAATCATCCGCCGAGGCCACGCGCACAGCAACCCCCTCCCCCAGCACCCGCTGCACCTCGCCGGTGACCAGGGACTTCCCGCTGCCCGGACATCCCCGCAGGATGATCATCAGGCGGGTACTGCGCTGCTGCAGATACTCCACGGTCAGGGGATCCTTTAAAAAGGGGAAGTCCAGAAAATCCGTGGGCGGTGGATTTAGGGGCGCGAGAGGGGCCGGGGGCACCTCCGGGGGATGCGCGGCGGCCTGGGCATAGCTGTGCACCCCGGGGTAGTGGGCAGGAAGGTGTTCGGGTGCTTGGATGGCATGGTGGGGGCCAAGGAAGGCGGGGACGGCGGCGGTGTGCGAGGGAAGCGAGGGAAAGTCGGAGGAGGGGGGTTTCCGGGAGGAAGACGCGGGACGCGACCAGCGGGGATTCTGGGTGGTGCGGTCCATTGTGGAATTCATCCTGTCTTCTGAAAAATCCAAAAAACGATTGTTAATTGAACGGGGAAGATGTAAATGCAGTGCAAGGAGAAGCAGTGAAGCAGCACTGCAAACTGCATTTTCGTGCTACAACAGGCAGAAACGCTGCCAAGCGAGTGCGTACCATGAATTCGCAATTTTCAGTGGTAATTCTAATTACGAGAACAACTGGTCGACAGAGAATTACAGAGGCTGTACTGTCAACACCATCCGAACATCATCAGTGTTCCTGAGTTCACGAGAAGAAACTCATGAATTTTCTGGAGCTGCTGAACAAATAAAAATGCCGTGCAACGCCCAACGGTGCAAAATTGCAAAAGTCAACTGCAGCAGCAGCTTCCAGCAAGAGCGAAATCATTGATTATTAATTATAATCGCGAGTCACTCATTCGTTTCTCAGGGCGGTTGGTTGACGACAGAAAATGTTTAACAGCCGGAAGTACCGTATTTTACGCGGACTGTTGCCGTATTGCGCTTGTTATCAATATTGTTACGTCTACGGTTCAGGTTTATGGTTTTTCGAGTTTTAAATTTTATTTTAACCGGAAAATTAAAACACCAATGATTCAGTTTTCTCCACAAATACTTACGAAACTGCAGGAAAAAGCTGCATCAACAAAACACGGCGCATGCGTCCAGTTTCCCGGTTGCGTTCGCACGCATGGTGATCAGAGTTGATTTGCTCTAAAACCTGTTCTGAATCTGAAGGGATCTTGGCTATCAGCGCAAAAGTAAAAAAACACGATTGTTCTTGCAGAAATTCTCTCTTTTTGGCCGCAGCGTATGTTTCCCGTTTCTCTTCCCGCTTTCTCTCGCATTCTCTCCCCTTCGGAATATTTGTCATTCCGTTGATCGATTAGTCTCCCAAACACACACCATAATATCATCCCGTTTAAATGCAGTTGCTGTTTAATCGCCCAGCAGCTGACGTGTCAATGGGATTTTGACGTCATTGCTCTGCTGTGTGTGTACGCGCGAGTGATTAATTTATTTTGTTGGGATCGTGTGCGCGCTGGCTTGTCATCGTTGGATGCTGTGTGTGCCAATTAGAAATCTGGGGCTTCCTTCAACGGATTAATCGTGCAGAAGCCCTGCTTTGGCCAGCCATTGGTGTGTGCTGCTTTTGGTGAAGATTGCAGTGATTTCATTGAATCTGATAGAAATTTATGAATCTTGATTTTGATTTGATTAGTGCACTGATTGGGATTCTGAAGGCTTTCAGGGATTTATTATTATCAGATTTATTGTGAGTGCGGTGGGTTTTGGTGGGATTATCAGTGCTGTGCTGTGTTGTTCAGTTTTTCTTATCACAATGTGGAGAACTCGCGCCAGGAACGCTTCATGTGGTTCTTGGCGAAGCGTGCGCTTTTAATTTGATTAGAATGCCCAGCTTAATCGGATTTAGTCGTCTCCATAAATAGACGGACAGCTGCATTTATAATAGGATCACGTTTGTGGCAATTACGGCGCTTCTAGAACATGCATTTGAACATTCGCCTAGAGAAATTATGATTGTGATTATTAATTATAAATTATTCTTTGAAATCATGTAAAATATTAATTTTGATACAAAGATATGGTAGTAATAATATAATATGCATTTACTATGTATTCATGTCCTGCTTATTGGCATACGGATGTGTTTATAGAATGGAGAATTTTGAGAATCAGAACGTTAACGGTGGGAGCCCTGCCGAGTCTGACAACGAAGACCAGGCCCAGCAGGAAGTGGCCCAGCAGGAAGAAGGCCAAGTTGCCCAACGTAAGTTCACGGTGCCTGGTAAAAGGATGGCGCCCCGTGGCGGTTGAGAGCCGTACGCCCACGCTACGCTACGCCCAGAAGTCATCGTAGGCCCATAGCAACACGGGCTTTTTCTGGCGTTGTTTAAACAGCGCGAGTTCGCACATTATTATTGATTATTCTGCTTACTAATGCGGCAATTACATGAAAATTAATAGAACACTAAGCTCCACCAATTGGGCGACACATGCCTGATAAAAAAGTGAAATGTGCCCTGTAAATTGTGCGGCGATGGCGATGCCGATGGCCGTGGTATTGCAGAACGCCTAACGTGCGACTGTTTTCGCGTGGTAGTGGTACATGGCGCATGCGCATTTCCCCTTTTGGCGCACTGCGAAACTCCTGTAGTTACGTCAAATTGACTCACGGCCAGTCTGCACGACCGTCACTGTGCAGTCTGAAGTCCCGGCGAGAATAATCACGATTTTCGACAATAGCATATTATACGGTGACGTAAGTAGCTCATCGCTGTAACCTAGCGTCGTGGGTGATCGCGTGAAAACTATCTGCCTTGCGCTACTGCTTAAACCTACTTCGACCATAGGCTAAATAGTGTCTATCGTAGTGATACACATTTCGTGTACATTTCGTTGTGATAAATGTGTAGTATATAGTTTCAGTTCTCCAAGTGTGCACGATTAAAAAAGTTTCGATAAACCGTTAACAAATAGATTAAAATTTATTAACGATTGATTAGCTTGGCCGAAGGAGCTGATTTGATAAAACGCAAGCTAACTGGGCAGAATGCTACGAGTACTTACATTTGCGAAAGTTTTTTGCGAACTCCAAATAATTTATGAGTTAGTACTGTAATAAAAGCGAGCCGGAAAAAGCGCCGAGCTGCGTCGACCGCGGAGCTTGCGGAGTAAAAAGGAGATATTTTGGGTAATGGAAGTACGGAATTTTTGTCCAGCAGATTTCAACGTTACTCAGTACTAGAGATATAATTATGCCTTGCTAGAGGTATGGAGGTGTAAGTAGTAAGTACAATACAAATACTGTACAATACAAACTTGTTCCATCAGCTAGCTACGATTTACAAAGGGGAGAGTCAGTGACCATGCAAAGGACGTCCGCGTGCTGGCACCGATTTGTAGTACGTGTAAACACTTACCAACGTTTTCTACCAAAACTGAAAAAATGCGGCAATTTTTATCCTTTTCATAGTGGCCACAGTCACACTTGTTGTTACACTCAAAAGTCAGTGAAAGATATTAATCATCCCGTGTTTCATTTCCGGTTGGTACAACTGGCGAGCACTTCCGATAGTAACAGAGCAGATACTTTTGACTAGTAGCCCCATGATAACGACATACCTTTATGCTGTTATACACACTCGTTAAACCATGATTTGCTGACAGGTGTCTTGGTTGTGGAATTATTCTTTTAATGTTTATACATATTAATCTCGTTTAGGTGTAAATGGCATTTTAACTGTATTAATAAAGTTCAGTACTTCAAGTACATATTAATCGTTGAAAATGAAATATCTTGAGCGCGTTATTCATTTAAAAAATTAGACGTCCCCCCTCCGTAATAAACGCCCCCCCCCTGCGGTTTTAAGCGCCTCCTCCCGAAGCTCTCGAAAAAAACCCGCGGATTTTACGGTATCTATTTGAAACATGAAACGACACAGCCATCAGGGGTGCCGTTTCCGTACTGGTACCGTACCTTGAATCATTCTTTGAGAAAACCATTCCTAACAATGATCTTATGAAAGGTTAGAAGTTCTCACAATGATCTTGCTCTGTCCCATTATCTTACATTACCGTCCCATTATTACAATGGTGTCTGTAATATGCAGGAGAGGGAAGGTACCTTATAAATAAAATAGTAGCTGCTGCCCAGATTTTTTGTACTTATTTCTAGTAGACAAAAATGCACTCAATACGAGTTTGCATCTGGATATAATAGCTGCAGTTCGGGAAACTTCTGTTTATTTCATGCACAACCCAGTAATATCGCTTACAATCAGTTTACTAGTCGTTAACATACTTTTCTTGACAGTTTTTAATGGACACTGATTCTGATGGCCATTTCTTAATCCGCCTTCGTGACCTGGTGCACCGAGTGCGCCGGCTACATTTGCTGCCTTGATCGGAGGGAAAAAGTTCTACACATCCAGTTCTGCAATTCCACTTCTACAAAATCCACTTCTACAAATTTTCCAGTAGCACCGTGAGCGCGGCTGCTCATTGCACTGCTTGACCTACAACTTGCTGAACCGACAACCATCTCTCAATTTGACCTGAATCTGAGCAACATTAACCACATCATTATTAACTATGCATCTAAAATGCCGATACGGTAAAGTTGAAATCTGTACTCACTCAACTCTGTATCATTCAATCCTCTAATCTTGCCTTGAGAAATTAAAATTCTATAATTTCACTTAATCTTTCGAGTTCTGTGAGCGTGACACTGAAATTCTTTTTCCGATATTTGAGTGGAAAATATTACCTAATTTAAAAACCATATCATACTACCATTAAAATCGCGGCAGTAATGATACGAGTATCGGATCAAGTTTATTATTAGTATACCGACTGGGTTAGAATGGTAGGCCTTTGGTGGTTTCAGCTGCTTTTATGTTATCCGGGAAATCATAGAGATCCGCGGGTTACCACCTGTCACTGTCAGTACGTAAATTCTAAAATATATTGGTGCGAATCGTGCGATTTGTTGTTCGAGCCGGAGTGATGCCAAATTTCGCAGTATTTAATAGAAGTATATAGTACATTAATAGAAGTATATAGTAGAACCTAGTACATCCGTGATCCGAATTGCAAAATTTATGTCAATGCTTAGCCTTTGTCTTGTTGCAATTATTGCATTAGGACAAACATAATGATTATAGAAAATACAGGATGAATCAAATTACAGCACACACCACGTAGTACGTACTACTGAACATCTTTGGGGGCGAACAACCACTCGCGCACCCCAATGTTAGACGGCCAGTTTTCTGGAGTAAAAAATTGCAAAATGCGGCGGCTCATCATCTTGTAAGTACAGCAGCCCTTGTTTACACGGTGTAAACCACTCCCTCTGCGCACTGTTTAACTGTGACATCCCTGGTCTTGCCCGGGTCTATTCTTCAGCGGAACAAATTATGCCCACAGAGTCTGTGGCACAGACTGGCTGGAACTACAGTTAAGGCGGCCCCATAGTCAACCGTTTTCTGGGACGGAGAAAAAGTTTCTCGAGGGTCCGGCGTCGACGGAGTTTCCGTGGTCACGGATTTCCGACGACAAGGTCACTCCGACTCACCGTCCCGTCGTGGTGATTGCATATGCATATCACCTCATATTCCTCATAGTTGTCATAGTCCTCATAGATGCATATTCCTCATAGTTGTCCGTGCTTCGGCAATATTAGTGACGCCCTTTCGACAGGAAGTAGGCAACCGGCCGCTGCAACGGTAGGAAGTCACCGCCCAGGGCGGTTGATTGCTGCATTATGGCAAGCCGGCATTAGGCTTATGGCAAGCCGAGTATTATTCGGTATTGCAGTACAGTACATGTCGATTACGGGTACCCCGACAGCTATCTGTGAGTTAAGGCTTTGCAATTCGTCAAACAACATTTTTACAAGTTTTGTAATAATTACTGCTTAATTTTTCAAGTCGGAGAAACAAAATTTCACATAAATTTTCAGTTTGGCAATCTACCCATGCACTCACGGTAGTTTTTGGCACAAAATGCCTCATAAGTAGGCGAAAGGGCTGACAGATTGAAAATAATGCATAATACTTATGTACTATCGATAACTTTCAGGTATGGAAAAATATACTTACGTAAAGTCGGTTACGATGTAATTTGTTTTAGTAATCCAAATGTCCGCTGACAAAAAGGGTTTTGTGTGAGATGTGCATTATGCAAGTAATAATTACCTAATCGGTATATTATAGCTTTATTATATGCACGTGTGTCTGCAAGATGTACATATGTACAGATACATGATATATTAACTATCTGGGCGTCCTGGTGGGCAGTGGCCACTTGGACAAACATATGTATGATTGGGCAAAAGAAAACGGATACAGTATTAGGGAGGAGCCATCCTCTCCTACACCGGAGATCGTCGAAACCACGAATTTCGACGATCTGGTTTCAAAACGATCATGTTCCCTCATAGTCATCCGTAAAAATGGGACGGAGAGTCGTTGAACGGTGTCTTCATAGTCACTCGAATTCTGAACACCATTTAGTCGAAACTGCCGCTTTCGGTGAACTATGAGGCAGCCTTTACACGTCCTGTTTGCCCATCCGAACAGCCAGGGTCAGATTAGCATCGAGTGCATCCCGGTCTCATGGACAACCACCTGGAGGAAATACTGCTCGATTTACTCGTTTGCCTTTGCCTAGGACCTATTGCTGGGCAAGCAGGTTCAAAACGCTAACTACGCCAGGAAGTATGAACTGCGCCACTGGTTTTAACCATACTTGTATTCGACACCGGCACATTTGCACCTCATCCCAGATCGCATGGGCATAATCCTCGAACGAAAACCACGGTGAAAGAGCATCATAACTGCACAGTAATAGCAGCAGACACGCTGGGAATACGCCGGCGGTTGCATCTGCCTAGCCGACACATACGTATCAGTTGCGCTGTGAACGTTCAACGTTGCTCCCATACTAAACGATACGATAACTTTTGGCTGTTTTTAACTTCACCGTCTCAAAGAAATAACAAATTTGACGTATGTGAACGGAAAAAATGTGTTGAAAAAATGAAATGAAAGAACCGCACAATTATCAGTTTTTCCCCGTTATAACTGGTGGTCGAAATATCCCGCGAGATATTCTCGCGCGGTTCCAGGAAAAATAGGAAAAATTCTCGCGCGTAGTTAATACTCAGAGCGCGAGATGCTCTCGCGCGTAGCCAAAACTCATAGCGCGGTAGTGTTCTCGCGCGTGGACATGACCTTTTTTATATGTTTTAGAGCTTTTATTTACTTTTTAACTATGGTTAATTTTTATGAAATTAAAAAGGTGAAATAATAAGATAAAAAATGTAATTCAAGGTAATTGAATGTTTTTGGGTGTTGTGGTTATTTGTGATTTTTCTGCGTTGTCGAATCAAGTAAATTGATTTTTTAAACAGATCATCTTTAGAAACAGTGTTCGATTTCACGTTTAAAAAACCGCTATGTACAGGGAAACCAGTCTGCAAGTTGGATGATAGGAAGTTTTGAATGCGACTATGCTAGTGCCGATTCACACTGGCCATGGTGACCCGTTTGGGGTGATTATGTGATTTTGATCAGTTGTTGATCAGTGCGTGGTATGAAAGTACGTAATGCCGCGGCAGCTTTATCGAGCGCGGTTGATTTGTGTTTACAAAACATAACACTTCCGGCTGCTTGTGGTGGAGTGTCTGGAACGCAGAGCCTACTCCAAAGCAGCTGTGTTCAAAGCTTCTTTATTAGCCAAGAAACGCCGGCGTCTTCGTTGACTCGTGACAAATTTATGTCTTAGAAGCAAGTTTATTTAAAATCTGCTTGGCTGTTTTTCTGTAATAGTCGCGTCACTCGCCTCAAAGTCAGCGTGGAGTTGATTGTAGTGTAGTGGCTGTTTATGCCAATGGCGACGTTCGCAATGCGAACTTCGCATACGCATACGAACAAGTAAGTAAGTTATGTTTATGCGTTTATGCGACACCCATCGAATGACAGCAGAACTAGAGTTTTATGATAATAAGTAAAATTCGATATTCTCATATGATTTTTTTCATAAAATAATTACATAGAAGTAAAAAAGTAAAAAAGAAGATGTATATGAAGAAGTATATGAAGATGTGTATGAAGAAGTAAAAAAAATTAATACCTAAAGAAACGGAAGCTGTCTTTGACTGGAAATAATAAAAGATAAAAGGTTAATGAATAATTTTAATTAAAATCTAATCAAAATTAAACAGTGAAGCTCAAAGAAGAATACAGTCGAAATTGGCATTGGTGGTCATTTTAGTATACGGTCGAAAATTCTCTTGAATGAGTGGTGGACATCAACGCTTGTTTACGCGAAATGTTCTCCTGAAAAGGACTGTATGAACGCGGCGTCGTACAGTACGAGGACATTTGGGTGCTGTGAACATACCCTGCACGATTAGGCTGCGATGAACAGCTGGTTAGCCGTAGCTCGCAACGCTACTGATATCACAGTCTGAACGCAAACGGCTATAAATTTAGCCGGCTGTTCATCGCAGCCTAATCGTGCAGGGTATGTTCACACTTCACAGCACCCAAATGTCCTCGTATTGAATCCGGGGAGGCGTGATGAGGTTAGGAATTTATAGTCCGGACTTGAAAGGCAAATTTGAGATAGATCGCAATCATCGCACCAAAGCCCGGCTGTATGCATTGCATCGGTTTCACAAACACAAACACGCCCGGCTGTATGTTCGCCGGTGCGATTTAGCTGACCGGAGGCGCAGTGGAAAGCAGTTTGTTTTCGGGCCGTATACATATGCGTTTATATGTCCCGGTCACTACCGAACGCAGTCAGGCCAACATATTGGATCTAACCATAATGCACTTCCGTTCGCACTTATTCCTGATGTTGCCCGGCTGTCTCGTAGTGAATATTCCCTAAAATTCTGATTATTTTCTAGAATCTTGAAATAATTTTTTCTAATTGTTTAAATTGAATAAATTTGTGAATTCACTGCATTCGACCGAAAAAGTGATGCGATAGAACTTTTTGGCTAATTAAAACGTTTTGCGGATTTGCACCGGGAATGAAAATGTCAGAGCAGCCGGGTAATAAACGAGTGTTTTCTTTTTCGCGCTTCGCCACGCTTGAGGGGTGTAGTTTGGCCCATGTTGATGAATTATGATATGGAAATCGGTAAATGGGGCGATAATGTTAAACAGCTCGGAACCGGCATTGACTAACCGGAAGCCGGTACGAGAGAATTCGGAGAATATTGTCAAGTCTTTCTAAATTCTTACCAGTTATACAGCGCCTTTCCGGTTCTGGGCAGCGCTCAGATAGTATGTCAAAACTGTCCAGTGTCGATATAAAGGGATAGGGCGTAAATGTTCTTATCATAAAAATAAAAATACAATTATGGGTAGGCCAGTATGGAGACCCGTGCGTCGACAAGTGGTATTAAACGCTGCAAATTCAGAACCTGATGCAATTAATTTTTGTAAAACTTTTTTTGTTTTTGAAATTCGCTGATAGGTGTTGTGTGAAATCTTGAAATGCCCGCTGCTGATATTTTCAGTCAGTTTTGACCTCGTATTTGGCGTATTTTCGGGTGTTGCCGGCAAAACACTTAGCGCCGTGTTCCGAATGTTTTTATCCAAACAAATTCGGTTAGTTTATCAGTTACTATGTTATGGACGACCATGCCGGTGTTGAATGGTGGGGTTTTGTATCGGAAACCCGCGTTTTGACGCAGAATGCGAGAATAATATTTGTAGCCGTGATCGGTGAGCTGTATTGTGTAGAGGAGACGACAAGTTTTTTTTACTCCACCGATTAGCCGTTGTCGTGCTAATCGTTGACCTCTGATTTATTACACTTCACTGCGATTGAATATGCCGCTGAAGACTTGCCGATAACTGGCGATAAGCAAGGGTTTCTTTGCGGATTTACCTCTTGTGAAATCAAAATTATTGCGGATTATACTCAGTCGATTACAATGCCAGTATTTTCGAAAATTTTTATTGAAATAATACAAGGTTTATTTTTATTTTTTTATCTAGTGATACCTTGACTTTTTTTACCAAAATATCAAACATAAGTATACGAAATTTAAAATATTATCGCAAAACACAGGTGAAAATAGAATTATCAAATTAATTTCGAATTTCATGAATTTTCGACTAAATAATAAAATAAAATTAAAATAGTAAATAAACAAAAATAAATAAATAAATAATACAAGATTTGATGAGTTATTCTATATGTTCATAGCTGAAATTTTTACCGAAATAATGATAAATTTACAAAATTTAAAATGTTACCGCAAAACACTGATGAAAATGGAATTGTTATCTTAATTCGAGAACTGTAGAAGCGATTTAAGTATTCTGCGCAGTAAACCAAGAATTAGTAAATTTTCTTACTATAAGTTATTGAGTTGGAGCCTGAAAACTGGGTTTAAAAAAACAGCAGTTTGTTTATGGAATTACTGTACAACTGCAACCTGATTTTCATCGTAATCAGAAAAGTAAAAATTACACGGTGTTTCTCGAGTTTATTTCGGTTACGCCTTTATTACCCCATAATAGCCGGCCGTATAATTGCACCCGGCTCGTTTTCTGGTTGATAAACAGATAAGTATTAGCACACTGCTGCATTGTCCGCGTGAAGCCTTGGCTTTTTTCTCCCAACCGGAAATCACCGTCCTGATTTATTCGGCACGCCGTCCAAATAAATAGACATTGGTCCACTTTCTTAGCTGTTAATTGGGTACCACGTACCGAGACTTGTATTGAGTTTTGTGCCTTGTGTAGATTTTTAGCGTTTTAAAATGTTTGGTTTTAAATGTTTAATTTCTTTAGCTTATTAAATTATTTTAGTGTGTTATTTAGTTTAGTGTAATACGTGATTATATTATTAATGTACAATAAGGGTTTTATTTTAGACTTTTATTAAAATTGGTTGGGATTTTACAAATCTGAGTGTGCCGCCGATTTTTGCAGAAAATGCCATGGGCCTTCCGCCGTTCGTCCAGGTGATGTTGGACGAAGCCCACGCCAACATGCAGGTACTGGACACTGCAAACCAGAATCTGCAGCAGCAGCTGAATTCGGCCCAGCAGCAGCTGCAGCAGGCCCAAGGACAGCGTGACCAAGCGGAAGGGTTGCGACAGGAAGCCGAACAGCGTGCCCTGGAGGCCGAAAAACGCGCCATTGAGGCCGAAGAACGCGCGCGCAGTACCGAAACCCGCATGGCCACCATGGAGACCGAGATGGTGGGTTTTGTTCGTCATTTAACACTACTTCGATTTTTCTCGTATTTCGGCCACATTGCGTATACGTGTAAATAACGGTCGATGATGCGTACACGGGTGTTTACACGGGGTTTCGCAGCGTTTAATTGATCATTTAGGGGAATTAGATGAGGGTCAAAAGGGGTGGATGTGGTCAGGGAACGGAATCAAAAGTAAATACGGTGGTACAGTGCCATTGCAATGGCCACCGCATTTGTTTACGGGCTTGAACAGGGAACGGTAACATTCGAACCGGAAATGATGCGAGGTAATCTGATGGCCGCAGTGAGGTCATGAACATTATCCCAGTTCCCTTGTGCCGGTGGCAGGATTGACAGTACCCTGACCGGAAGCCGGAAACAAAAATTCTGTAACTATGTACCTCGATTGTGGTATACTACAAAATATGTTACAACCGAGGCTGAAAAATCATAACTTGGAAAGTGAAATTCACTAATATTACGCAGGCGCTGCACGGTTGAAACGGGCAAGCCTAATATAACATTTGGCAGACGTAGTCTGTCTATATATTATATTAGTATAGGATCCAACGTGTAACTGAAAGGTTACTGAAAGGTCAGGATGATTCTCTCTGTTCTGAGCTTTTGCGTCTGTCTATCCTCTAACGGGAAAAGATGGAAAGTAAAGGACACTAAAGGTTAGCCTCAATCCTGCCTGTTCAGCTGCCGATTTTCTGTCGGATTCCCATTCGAAGAGATGCTGTACAATGTACTGGTGCAGCATCTCTTCGAATGGGAATCCGACAGAGTACACTGTAGATGCATCTTTGCGATACATGTACAGTGTACATGTATCGCAAAGCTGAACTATAGACTGTCGGTATTCCAACACCAGTATCAGTGGATGACTCCCCTCTTTCTCCATTCTATGTATCGGCGCTCAGAAAAAAATCATTGAACTAGAACACTTAATTGCTCGTTTCCCAGGACAAGAATGCAGTGTCCAGGCTGAGCAGGAGAATATGAAATGAAAAGGAATGCAGGTCAAGAAAACGTATTGCTGTACATCAGAATTGTTCAGACATTCCCAAATTCTAGAAATTCCACGTTATATTAATTTGGACAACTCGTACGCAGAGTCGCAGATAACGCATTGTTCCGATTTGACTAGCATCAATGAAATTCAAATTTTCATTACGCTAATAACAAATTCTCTTGCACGGCTGCAGTATTTTGGCTTTTGTCGCATTTATTCTTAATCAATCCACGCGCCTGCGTAAGGCTTCCGTAGGAAGCGTTCCGAAGGAGTTTTTAACCATAAATGTAAATATTCCTTGCACGCAGCGAAAGCCCGTGGCGACTTCCCATGTAAGCAGCCAGCACCCGTGCGGACTCAAAAAGGTCACCCGTGCACGTAGCCATTATCTTAATTAAAATACCCATAAATCATCCGTGTGGCCCGTTACTTGTGTTACTCCCGATCGCTCACGCTGTGGCACCTGCTGTCGAGTTTTAGTTTATTTTGAGTTTTGATACTCCCCACATTTTATTCTCTTGGAAATGGGTAATTTTTTTGAAAACAGTTGTCTTACCACCCCTTCGAAAGCTGTCCTGGTTCAAATCTCTATGTGAAGTACTAACCACCTAGCTAAAAATGCAAGTTTCACCGGCACTTTTTGTTGCCAGCCTGTCATGAACCAAACAACAATAATTTAAAAAAAATGTATGTAAGTGAAATACTTTAAAAAATGAATAAACAGATTGAAGTATTTTCGAAAATTCAGAAAGGCTGCTTAGTGCATAGGTCATCCAGCGCATGCACCATGCCACCAATTTTCTTCCGATTGAAAGAAGTCTTTCTCGAGATCAAGCAATTAAAAATTAAATTAAAATCTAAAACAATTTAAATAAATATATTTTCAAATTGGTATAGAAATGTGTATCTTCGATTTTAAAATTTTAAAATAGAAATTTTACAAACGGAAAAAAAATAAGACGAAATTTTCTACTTGGCGAGCTGAGATACAGATACTAAAAATTTCTTGGTGGGACACTGTGTGTCATTGTTAACGATGAAGGGTACAGCCGTGTTATTCAGCCAACCGGTATACATCCGCGTTTTTATCAGGGCACTTCCGCAATACATTAAAAATTTTATATTTTTTATTAATTTCTTGTACAAGCTTGTATGGAAAAATAATTATCATGTAACCAAGTTGTCATGTCGAATAGCTCAGAGAACGTGTTTGTCCGGTAGGCGAATCCATATTATGAAAATGTCCGGAATGCGAAAAGCGTTGAAGTAATCGTAATGACGACATGCTAGTATATTTTACTCGTGTAATAAGTTCTTTCTGGCATCGCTACCCGTGAAGCACACTGACGATGGCATTTTGCAGGCTGTGCGAGGTATCCTTCTGGAGGCGAAGATGGGTGGGGATGATGAGACGCTGGTGGAGGGGAAAGAAGAGGAGAAGAAGAAAGAGGAGAAGAAGGAACAGGGAAGAAGGAACAGGGAAGAAGGAAGAGGAGAAACTGGAAGAGGAGAACCTGGGAGAGGAGAAGAAGGAAGAGAAGAAGGAAGAGGAGAAATTGGAAGAGGAGAAGGTGGAGGAATTGGATGAGGAGGATGAGATGACTCCCGTTCTTTTGGTGGGACTATGGGCCTTGATGATCTCGATCGTTTACTTTGGCGACCGCTTCTAGCCTCTCTCGTTCTAGGTTAGTACTTGTACGAGGGTATGTGCAATACGGTTTTGATAGTGAAGGCGCTTTTCATGTACTATTGAAAGACCGCATGGACTAGGCTCACACTGTCACAACGACTTCCGTCACCGGCAGCAGTGCGTCCAGTTTGGCAGTTTCAAGTTTGCACCTAACAAATTTTGAAAATTCCGTTTATTGTTTTTGAAGTTTGCTACACAAAATTTTGTTTTACTGCTTAAGCACTTTTATTCAACAAAAAAGAAGTCAGTTGTGCAACAAAATTACCTTTTGGTTTAATTATTTTTCAGAATTTTTTTCCTTTGGTTGTCTAGATATTGTGAGTGAATGGGCGATGGTCGTTCGGTTTGGTGTAGTGCAGTGGCTTAGGGTGGCGCGTAGGGTGGCTGGAATGTTTCATTTTAGACTTTTAGCAAAAAAACAATCGGTTAAGTTTTTCTCTAAATTTTTAGTACTCTGAAAATGTTGCATTCTACTTACTTAACCGGATAAAAAAATTGATTTTAAGTAATTATAATTAAAAATAAATTATTTATAATTTTTTTACTTTTTAATTATACTGAATACAGTGAATAGCGATTAATTATACTGAATAACGCAGTTCTGATCTTGTATACATATTTGACATTTGCTTACCTTCTAGCCGTCTAAAATTATTTACTAAAGCTACTTAACCGGATAAAAAAATTGATTTTAAGTAATTATAATTAAAAATAAATTATTTATAATTTTTTTACTTTTTAATTATACTGAATAGCGATTAATTACAGTATACTGAATAACGCAGTTCTGATCTTGTATACATATTTGACATTTGCTTACCTTCTAGCCGTCTAAAATTATTTACTAAAGCTACGAGTAGCAAAAAAGATTGAATAAAGTAAAAATTAAATGAAAAACAACAATAAACGAAGATTAAACGAATATTTAAAGTAATAATATTATTGAAAATGGTAATATGTATTATCACTATAATAATTCAGCAGTTACGATTTTCAGATGTTGCTGCTGCTCTTCATTGAATCTGTTTTGCAGTTCCTTCGTTTTAATCCAGCCTCATTGACATTCCCGCCAGGCACAACTTGACAGAAAGCATGCAGATGATCGTCGCCGAAGCATTTGGAACAGTATTACTAATGTGCGTTTTTTTCTGTGTTTATTTGACCCTGTGAGCGGTGTCAGTTGCTCATTGATAACTTTAATTTTAACTTTCTTCCGATCATGCCGCTACACCGTTAACATTAATTCAGGAATCTGTGGAATATTTAGCGATTTATTCCAGCGAAAAATGTTTTAGAATGTTGGGGGTTTTATGGGTAGGCGGTTACGGGAGCGCGTTGGTCTGAATTTTGGATAGCTTAGTGTGTCGCGTCAGTGAGAAAAGTTTGGCATATCATTTTCTGAGAACTGAATGGATGGTACTTGTTGGAGGTAGCTGGTATTTTATTTTATTAAAATTTATTGCGACGGTGACGCGGTGTTTTTCTTCCGTTGGCCACACTATCACTATTCACTACGTGGGCATTTTCAAGTGTGTGAAAGCATGGGCGCCCAAAAATTGTCATTCCAGAAAGGGATACCTAAATGAAATCAAGGGAAATATTAATTTAATTGATTAAATAATTATCACGCAGTTTCATTACTCCAATCTCTGCATCAGGGATCTCCATGTATTTAATAATAAAAAAACACTGTTATTTCTTTCAAAACACAATAAAACCTGCGAGTAATATTTTTAGAAACTGTTATTAAACCCAGTTTAATAAACGGTAATATTATTTTTTTTAAATTATTTATTGTTTGTTTAAATATTTATTTATTATTTAATATAATATTTTTAAACTGTACAGATTAACTGAGTAACTGCACCACAGCTAGTTGGTTAAAAAAAACCATCGTCTCTTGCATCGTAATTTATTATGCAGTTGGTCGTAGAAACTGAGCATGCAAAAAAGGCGCTGAGTAATTTCACTTAAATTAAGACATCTCTCATCAATTCTCATCACTTTTAAAATCACCGTTCGGCGTACTTAATTACGTATAAAATAATCAACAAAAGTATACCAACTTATCAATCTGTCACACCGACCGGGAAATAAAAGGCCAAAACTATTACAGCATCCACTAAAAATTTGTGCATCAATCCACAATACAAAAAGGCACACTGCTTTATCCCAACAAAATCATCGACAATTCTTCCAGTAAAAAATCCAAATACTGCAAAAATCCATTGCTTTTCCTGATCCCAAAAATAATCCAGTATTTACCATCCACCGGACCGTTCTTCCGACGAGCCTGACGACGATTCTACCGGGGGTCGTCGCGTCCGTCCGTCGCCCTTCCCGGCCGACGGCGGGGTGGCGGTCGACCGGCGACTCTCTTCATCGCGGCAGTAGAACGGCGCAAACAGCGCCGGCATCTTAACGGACTGATTCAGGTTGAGATACCAGAAATCGGCGGGATAATTCACCACCAACCCGGCGTCCACGTCAGACATCGTCTCGGACGTTTGGTTATTCACAAATTCCACTGCAACAGCCGAACAGGCTGTTAAAACTTAAAAAAAGTAGGACATAAAGTCAAGTAGGACACCGTACTACGATTTTCCGCAAAATGTACAAATCAAAAGACAGAACGATAGATATATGTATAGTGCGTATGCAATATTAAATCGGAAACGAATCAAATCGCCACTGTTCTACGAATTTCAAAATTTATCGATGAAAATCATCAATGCCGTCCTTTTAACACCTGTTCAGTATTAACTCTTCCCAGGCACTTAAAAGTGCAGTATGTACTACCATTCAGCATTCTCAACAATTAATACTGTAGAATGTCGCTTCAGCGTTCAATGCTTACGATTAAATTAGGAAAAAACAATCTAAATATGATAAATCAAGACGTAAGTACGAATACTAAAAAGCCCGGAATCACTTCAAAAATTCTGCGTTGGCACTCACCCAGCTGCATCATATCCCGTCCGGCGACATACGCGCCCACCCCGTCGGCCGTCTGCACGGTAATATGCGCGCGACTCCCGACCGGCAATCCCGCATACTTGTTGTCCACCTCCGGATTCCACAACGGCAGCTGCTCGTCGTCCAGAATCACCCGGAACGACACGGTCTGCGGCGTGATCAGCAAGCCGACAATCTCCAGCTCGAACACTTTCCCCATCGCTTTCTGTACTGCGTCGCTCGTGGCGTAGGTCTGGACACCTAAAAAAAGCGAAACAATTCCAGTAAAAATCACAATTCCTTTCTGCCACGACCGCTGACAAGGGATAAGCGCCAACAGAACTTGCATTGAATTTCACGAGCATTTTATACCCATATTTGTCATTATATCCGGAATATTACTATAATTTTTACGTTCCCGTCGTTTCCAGCATGTAAACGCGAAATAAGAAAGCGAAATTAAATTATACAACCGGAAGTAAAAAATTCAACGTAAGGAAAACATTGAAAATTTCTTCACTGACTCCACGATAAATCATTTTGCAAGTATGCTTCGTATGCGTAATTTCGCAGCTTAATCGCACGCTTTCGTGAAGCACTGTAGTACAGCGGCATATTCGTTATTTCGGATTTCACAAGACTAGATCAGTACTCGGGATTTGCGAAACCACGTTAAATCATAAATTAAAGCGGCGATATTTCTCTAGCTCAACTGTTTATTTATTTTGTTGCTGAAAACTTTTTTTCGAAGTACTTGTATCTGCGGCAATTTATTTAGACGACTCTAATTATTTATCATTACCAACGAATAATTATCTCGTAAAATAACACGAATCCGTACAATAAGAGCTGCACTAACCAACGGTTTAGTTAAATAAATAAACAGAAAAATAAGAAAATATGGAACCAAGCATTCGTAATTTTTTTAGTTAAAAAATGACTGAAGTTACCCGGTCGTTTTCCATACTGCGTGTAGCAGGCCGTGACATGGTACAGATCTCGCCGCAACGGCCACTCCATCTGCTCCTCCTCGGGCGTGGCCGTCAGTCGCGCGAATAAACTCCCGCGTTGCCCCTCGACATAGCGCCGCACTTCCTCCACCCGCAGCATACTGTTGGCCAGCTTAACGGCCAGCGCCAGCAGCTCCAGGGAGTCGCTGGGCGTCAGAAACCAGCCGTAGTACATGGGGAAGACGAAGCGTTCCTGTAGGCGCTTCAACCGGCGTTCGATGGTCTCCCGGTCCACGCCGTGGACGTTCTTCTTCAACAGGACACCGGCGTCGTACCGCCAGGGGGTCTGCGGTTCCACCAGGAGGGTGGCGAAGCCGTGACGGTGGGCCAGACGGAGGTAGGGCTGGAATTCGCGGAATTCAATGTTGGTGTTGTCCACGATCACCTAAAGCATGCCGCAATATTGGTAAAAAGATTTACAATTATCTGACTACTTAATATAAACAGTAAAATTCACAAACTGAAAATCTACAAAACTATTTAAAATCCACTGATCCACACATCAAAATCCACAAAATTAAATAACTGAAACCCACTCATCCACTGATTAAAATAACAAATTTTAAAAAAAAGCAATAAAAAAGCGATCTCAAAAACAGCACTAAGAATAACTGGGTAAAACACGTAGAAGATGCAGCGCAGGAAAAGTCATGCAGCGCAGGAAAAGTCTCGAGAAAATGTACCAGTTACAGTAGTGAAATACTGACAGTGACGCGCGGTTTGTGAAATAAAACGAAAACCAAAAATATTCAAAAAATAATTTACTAGTAACTAACAAACTTGCAGTTAGCACAAACGTTAAAAAATGCCAATTTCAAATTGAATAAAAATTACCAGTAAGAAATTCAGTGATCCAGTAATTGCAGAAAAAAATATATTCCCTATTTCCTGGTAATAAATAATAAAACTGACTATAAAAAATTAGAAACAAAATTCACGGCGATCGAATTAAATGAAGAAAAATAAAACCATACCAGCTGCGCGTGGTCCACACTGCAAAAACGCTCGCACTCCATCCGGCACCATTCATGCGCCTCCGGCAGCCGCTCCCGCTCAAACCGGTACTCCCTCGCCGGATTGCGCCGCCAGAAATCATCCGCCGAGGCCACGCGCACGGCAACCCCTTCCCCCAGCACCCGCTGCACCTCGCCAGTGATCAGAGACTTCCCGCTGCCCGGACATCCCCGCAGGATCATCATCAGGCGGGGGCCGCGCTGCTGCAGATACTCCACGGTCCGGGGATCCTTTAAAAAGGGGAAATCCAGAAAATCCGGGGGCGGCGGAGGCAGGGGCGCGAGGGGGGCCGGGGGCGCCTCCGGGGGGTGCGCCGCGGCCTGGGCGTAGCTATGCACCTCGGGGTAGTGGGCGGGAGGGTGGTCGGGTGGATAGATGGCATGGTGGGGGCCGAGGAAGGCGGGGACGGCCGCAGTGTGCGAAGGCAGCGAGGGGAAGTCGGAGGAGGAGGGTTCCCGGGAGGAAGACGCGGGACGCGACCAGCGGGGATTCTGGGTGGTACGGTCCATTGTGGAATTTATCCTGTCTTCTGAAAAATCCAAAAAACGATTGTTAACTGAACGGGGAAGATGGAAATGCAGTGCAAGGAAGAGCAGCACTGCAAACTGCATTTTCGTGCTAAAACAGGCAGAAACGCTGCCAAGCGAGTGCGTACCATTGTATTGCTGAATTTGCAATTTTCAACGGTAATAACGAGTAATTCACGAGAATAAGAGGTCGACAGAGACTCACAGAGGCTGTATCGTCAACACCATCCGAACATTATCAGGGTTCCTGAGTTCACGAGAAGAGACTCCTGAATTTTCTGGAGCTGCTGAAAATAAAAAATAAAAAAAGCCGTGCAAATAGCAAAACTGCAAAAGTCGGACTGCAAGAGCGAAATCGAAATCAACAGAGGCGATGAATATAATCGTGAGTCACTTATCCGTTTCTCAGGGCGGTTGGTTGGCGACCGAAAATGTTTCACGGCCGGAAGTACGAAGTACATATGTATCGCATTTTACGCCCATGTTATCATTACCGACATTACGTAGTGTTACTTATACGTTTTTATAGTTTCTTGGGTTTTCTAGAGTTACTAATAAGCATAACCAAAATTTTTTAATTCAGAAAGTTAAGTAAACGGGATCGAAAATTGCGAAGTGTATTTTGACAAACTTTCAAAGCTGTCATCCCCCGAATTCAAGCGCTACATGCCGATAATATATTTCAAATGCCATTTTTTAAATAGCAAGTAATTCGGGAGTTTTATAACCAGATCTGATTTCATTGCACTGATCTTTACTGCACACTGAGAAACAACAAACTCCACAACCGATCTACCAGAATTTTTTCCGCCGCACAACAAGATCGTACTTTACACTAAAAACAGAAAATCTCCACTATAAAATTGACAACCGCTGTACAAGTAATAACAATCACACCGTTGAAAATTTTTACAAATATGTGCAACACTGTCCTGTCACTGTGAGTAGAGAAACATCGATACCGCAAAAATCACCGGTCAAGAATTACGAGACAAACAAATAAGTACGCTTCATTCCTCATCGAACAAACTGATCTCTTTGGCGCAGTAATAATACCCCGTCGCCTTATCCTTCGGCAGGGTCATGGCCAGCAACTGCACCTTTGACACCTTCTCACCCCCGAACACCGCCTCCCGGTGGGCGGCATACACCGCCGGCTCGATATGTTTGACACCGTGGCGACGCAGCTGCGGCGCGCGGGACAACTTCATCAGCGTCAGATGCGGCGTGAAGGCCTTCTGCGGGTCGGTGGAGGGCAGGCCGGCGGCGGCGAAGCGCTCGTTCAGGGTGTCGGCTAGGAGGCGCAGACGGGCCAGGGCGTCATCGTCCACTGGGCTGATGAAGAGGATCTGGTGGCGGAAGTGGTCCAGTCCGCGGAAGGACAGGGATAGCGGGGTGGCTGTGGAAGGGAAGAGCGCGCGCAGATGGGGGAGGCTGGCGTCCAGAGTGGCGGAGGCTCTGCAAACGCAAAAAGCATCACTGGGAGGAACCAAAAAATTATCAAAATTAACAGATTAAGCAAGACAGACAAGTAAAACTATAGTGACTTTGATGGTAATGATATTTTGCCCCGCGTACAAAGCCACCGTTCTACGAACATTATCCTCCGACCGTAAAACACAGCATCGCACTGCTTCGCGCCTTGCACAGTGACAATGGTTACGCTTACTCGGCAAATGGCTGCATTCAATGAATAAACCATCAGTACTGCTGTTCCAGTGTGAGAAAACCCAAAATTATTATTTTTTTTTATCGATACCGACAAACGGACAAAGTGTGCATGCAAGATGACAAAAAAAACCAATTTTAAAAGCAGTTAACCACGGTGATTATAAGATCATTAAGATGCAGTAAAAGTTATCAAAATAACATGCATTTTACAGTACCTGTAAAATTACTATAGTGTTATTTCCGTTGGTATAAAATCAGATGACGTATTTCGCTGAGCGTTAACGCATTCGAAAATAAATGCATCAAAAGTATCCGTATTATGTACGGTGCAGCTAAGAGACTAATTCTGCGATACATTTTTAACGCAAAAAACCAAAAATTAACACCATTCATCCCCGTGCAGCGGCTTAAACTGTTCTTATTGTTAATATCGTTTTCCGCCATTTCAAAATTTTTAATATCGGTTATGGCGAGCAGTATCAGAGTAATTTTATGAATAATGGTTGACTAAACCGCACTCGGACTCGGAGACGCCATTCACTGTGTGAACCACCGACGTACCTGGCGACATCCTCGGCATTCTCCAGCCGCATCACCATCAGCGTGACGTGCAGTGTCGCCAGCGGAATCAGCGCCGGCTGCAGTTGCGGACTGCCGCTGACAATGTCTTCCTGTGCGTTCTGCGCGGCTGCATGGATCTGCGGACTGCTGACGGGCACCGCCAGGAAATAATTGGGCATCAGTTTGGGCTTCTTCGGCCGACCGGAAGTCGTCGTGTGCAGCTGCCGCAGGATGGTTAATTCCGTACTGCACCGCTTTTGAATGATGCGCTCTTTTAGAGACACTATCGCCTCGGACTTCTCACTACAGGCTCGCTCTAGAAATTCAAAAAGAATACACAAATAGATACAAGTTGCCGCATAAAAATTTACACAATATTTCGTTTCGGACTCCATACAAGTCCGAGTTTCACCGCTTTTCGAGCGATTATTAATTGTAATTTCCTACCAATACTTCTAGTTCTACAGTTCTACTTATTAGGTACATACCGTTAAATATCTATAAAATAAAAGCAAAATACTTCTTATTGATTGTAAGTACAGAGTACATACGGTCATACCGTCAATGATAAAACAAATAATTGAATCGTACCTGCAACTGCGAAAAATTCTCCCACATCGTCTGTATCATTACGCTTCATAACCAGTGCAGAACCTTCAAACAACGACAAAAATTTACTTATGTAAGTACATTATTCAGGTACGTATTATGTCCATTTGGCGGTTATTTTGACTGAACATTAACAATTATTTCAATTTGCACCAATCGTGGTTTACAGTAAAACACAACTTACGGTGCAAAATAGTATGTAAATTCCTTGATTAATTCAGGTATTATGATCAGAAAACAGTAACGACTGTAACGTGTAAAGATAGTAAAGTGTATGTACAAAAACCTGCTGCATAGTGCATACTGCTTACACTTAGGGTGGGTCTCACATTCAAAGCGAATCTCGCTATGGTACGGTTGCTCAACCGCACGAGGTGGCTGTATGCAGTGGCCACGCCTACAGATACGGTACGCGAAGCCACCTCGCGAGGTGGAGTTGCGGTATCGCAACTAGATTCGCTTCGAATCTGAGACCCACCCTTACAGTACCACCTGATATCAATAATTATTATAATGTAGTAAGCCGAATTCCCAACTGTGCGCTTCACTTTAAAACCTGTTTTGTAAGGCATCATTATTCGTACCTTCCGCAGCTGTATCTTCATTAATTCGTTCATCCAGCCCAACACTGTCTGCAGGTGAAGAAGCCATGCTACGTTCGGACGGGAAGACGCATGCTAATCGCGGAAAGCACAGCACTGGCGCGTCAGCTGATTTCATGGAGAAATTCACAGGTTCTGACGCAGCCATCATGATTCTTCGCAGCACACAACGCAGAATAAACATGTGGAAACAATCCCGTAAGATAAGAGTGGACGAACAAGAGAACAGGGTTGCAGAAAGTGGAAACGCAAAAAACTGGAAATTTGACGAACAATCCAAACACACGCATAACATGATAACATCGAAGTTGCTGTTTTTTCGTGTTGGACAATTTTACCAGGCGCTGTGAGGCTTTAAATGGCAGTGATATACTAGCGAAACGAGCCATATCACTATTACCGTAGCGTGTAGTAACCGCCGTCGGCTGGCAGTTTCTCGTCTACTTTACACAACCGGAAACCCACCGGCAGCATAGGCTCGCTACGGCACAAACAGAACGGAAGTTCCGAGTGCACAGCTCCATCGAGTTTCGAATGCAAACCCGTGAATTCCCTCGAAACCACATGGAAGCATATTTTCTTTCATGAAAAAATTATTTTTCGACCGAAAAACCCAAATAAACAAGGTGCCATCAATGACCATTCCAAGCAACTCGATTTTATCGGGTTATCGTATCACTGCGGAGCACGTGCACATCCCTGTACGGCGTCCGTTAAAGAAAATTTGGCCGGAGGCCAATTCGTACTGTAATCAGCCGCTGCGTAAACAATTCCTGGGAAGCCGTCTGTTCCGGCCAGAAAGCGAAATGATGAAACATAACTTTCTAGATTCTGTCTGACAATTTTTTAATTCTATTTTAACCGGAAAACCAAAACACCGACGATCCATTTCATTCCGAAATTGCGAAACCGTGAGATGAGTAGTATTAACAAAACACGGCGCATTCAGCTATTTTCCCGGTTGCATTCGGACGCATGGTGATCAGAGTTGATTTGCTCTTAAACCTGTTCTGAAGGGATCTTGGCTATCAGCGCAAAAGTAAAAAAACACGATTGTTCTTGCAAAAATTTTCTCTTTTTGGCCGCAGCGTGTGTTTCCCGTTTCTCTTCCCGCTTTCCTGGCGTCTTCTCTCCCGTTCGGAATATTTTTCCTTCCGTTGATCGATTAGTCTGCCAAACACATCACCATCATCCCGTTGAAATGCCGTTGCTGTTTAATCGCCCAGCAGTTAATTAGAGCAGTGTCAATGGGATTTTGACGTCATTGCTCTGTGTCTGCCTGTGTGCTGTGTATGCGCGAGTGATTAATTTATTTTGTTGGGATCGTGTGCGCGCTGGCTTGTCATCGTGTGGATGCTGTGTGTGCCAATTAGAAATCTGGGGCTACCTTCAATGGATTAATAGTGCAGAAGCCCTGCTTTGGCCAGCCATTGGGTGTGTGCTGGATTTGGTGAAGATTGCAGTGATTTCATTGAATCTGATGGAAATTTATGCATCTTGAATGGGATTTTGATTAGTGCATTGATTGGGATTCTGAAGGCTTTCAGGGATTTATTATTATCAGATTTATTGTGAGTGCGGTGGGTTTTGGAGGGATCATCAGTGCTGTGCTGTGTTGTAGAGTTTTTCGTATCACAAATGTGGAGAACTCGCGCCAGGAACGCTTCATGTGGTTCCTGGCGAAGCGTGCGCTTTTAATTTGATTAGAATGCCCAGCTTAATCGGATTTAGTCGTCTCCATAAATAGACGGGCAGCTGCATTTATAATAGGATCACGCTTTAGGAATCACATCGCTCTTGAAATATGCATGGCGAAACGAGAAATTCTCAGTAATTTTAGTGGATTTCGCAGACTCGAAATTTTCGAAATATCCTTAGCTTTCTGGCGTCTTTTCATTGTCGATTATTTCATCTTTATTTTTGCATTTTTTTTACTTAATATTCGCTTTTTTTATTTCGCGTTATATCGGGAAAAAAAATGAGGCACAACGGTTGAATTTGTGTAACACAGTAGCTGGCTAAGAGGAAAATTTAATGAAATTATTTTATACATTTAGGATCTTTCATTTCAGTTCGATGCGTCATCTCAACCTGGTTTGGAAAATAGGGATTTTAACTTTTAAACAATAGGTCTTAGTGCTGCGTAATTTTCTGCTTTTTTCTCTTTTTATTGCATTCGCTGCTGTCAGTGTATTGCAATAATAATCGAAATTTTTTGTTTTAAAATTCCATAAATTGGATTTTGTTGGAAATGCCATGTTAGCTTGGTAGGGAAAACTACATTTTAATTCTTAATTTCTTATGTTAGTTTTAAAGAATGTTCTGTTTTTTGAATCTTCGCTGCTGCAGTCAATATAGTGTTGCCATAATAATCTTGATAAACGATCGGTAGTCGTTACGATGATTGGTACGAGCGGAGAAATTCGTAACTTGACGCGCGAACTGCAGTTTAATTTGTGTGTTGCTTTGCAGATCGCACTTCTTCCGTTAGCGGGACGGGGCCGTTCTCCCTGGATGGCTGATCGTGGCCGTCCGTCTCCCGTGTAAGCCGCCGACTGATCGACAGTGCCATGAAAGAGTATTCGGAAGGCCAGGAGCATTCGACGCTGCCACCTGCCACTGCCGCCGTCGCTGTCCACGATGCTCCGCCGTCGTCCTCCTCCTCCACCACGACGACGGGGACAGAGGGATCCAGCAGTAAGGAGCAGGTGGAGGCCGTCCTCACCGTGCCGGGCAGTATGGAGGATCGCCAGTTCCCCCAACAGCTCTCCAATCTCCAGGGCAATCTCCGCAACATCCTGCGCATCGGTACGTAACTGTATCTGCATATTTCTGGTGATCAACAGCGGTTTCGTTGGTAAAAACTCTCTTGTATTTATATATCATCTTGTATATCATCCTGTCAGTAATATTCGCGACTGACGTGAGCAGCATAATAAACGTTACGGGATGACAGACAGACCGAAGATTTCACCCGTAAAATCAAATTTTTACTTCGCGCAATGGACAGTTTCCCGTAGTTATCCAGCAGCACAACGCGGTAGCCTTTTACAGGAATTATTTGTTGCGACAAATTGGTGTTTTTGCTGTATTCGTCATACTGGATGCGGTTCTGATATTCGGGATTGTGTAATTTTTCGTACTAGATTTTGTGTACGATGTGAAACTGTACGAGAACAGAAAAAAGCTACATTTAAAATTTGAAACATAAAAAAGTTTAAGTTTTATAGCGTTGCAACTTAAGTTGATGTACTGCGGTGTGTCAAATTTATAATGCTTGAAAAAGCACTGGTTTTTTCATTTGCCACTGTGCTACGTTGCGTTACCGTTTCACATGTACTGTGAGAAATATCTTGTCTGAAAGATAAGCTACGGTGTGTTTTTGCGTGAAATACCGCAATATTTATGGGCTGTCGCTCAAACCAAGAAATTAATTGTCATTTTAATTTATGGAAAAATGTTTGGCTACTTTCACCATAAACTGATGCTTGAGTTTTTTTCATATGTCCAGGGGAAAACCAGATCCATGTCCGGCGCGTGGAGCCCTGGAACAGCGTGCGCATCACCTTCGTCCTGCCGCCGACGGCCGCCACCCGCCTGCAGGCGCTGGCCGCCCAGGCCGACAACCAGCTGGCCGGCATGGGCGTCCTGACCGTCCGCGTGGGCGAGGCCAACCCGGTGACTGTCCAGTTAGTCCCCAGCACCTCCGGCGCGCCGCAGGAGCCCCCCGCCAAGAAGCCCAAATCCGACAAGAAGGGCCGGCCGCGCAAGACCCCCACCGCCAAACTCCTACCTCCCCCGCTCCCCGCCCCGCCCCTGGACGCGCCGCCGGCCATCAACGGGGACACCAGCGCCCTGGCAGTATTACAGCATGTACTCAGCTCCATCGCCACGCACCGCGGCGGCAGTAGCAGCAGCAACGACTGCCAGCCCTCCACCTCCAAGGTGGATCTGCAGCCCAACGTCGTGGCCACCACCTCGCAGCCCATCCCCATCCCGACCACCCCGGTGATGGGGCACGCGGCGGCTACCGGGCCGTTTCCCTTCGCTAGCATGACCAAGGTGGCCTACACCCTCAAGAACACCATGACCAGCTCAGCGGCCGGCGCCTCGACACTGACCACCACCGCCGCTGCCCGTGAGACCCCCGGCCGGTCCGCGGGGACAGCGAAAGCCGCCAGTCCGACGAAAGCCGCACACCAGCGCAATATCGCCCTGACCAGTCCTCTTTTGGTGAATCTCCTGCAGAGCTCGGAAGCATCCGGGGCCTCCACGTCCGCCGCGGCGCCCGCCACCCCGCCGGCGGCGCCGTCGCAACCCGCCAAACGCACCAAGAAGAAGAAACTCGCGGAACTGGAGCCGCCCATCCCGCCGCCCCTGGAGGTGGACAAGAAACCCTCCCGTCCGCGGAAACGGAAGAAAGTCGAGGCCACCAACGGGATCGAGGAGATGGCCGCCATCCCGGCGTCCCCCGGAGCGGCCGGCGGGGTCCTGCTCCTCAATAAGGACCACCGCACCATCGCGCCTAAATCCCTGAGCGAGTCTTCCATGGACGTGCCCACTTCCACGGCGCCGACCTTCATCACGGTGTTCGCGCTGACCTCACCGGGATTAACGCGCACCAGCTCGTCGCCGCTGGTGTGGAGCGCCCCGGCGGCCGTGACGTCGACGGCCAGCACCACGGCGGTGGCGCTGACGGGGAACGTGTTGCCGGTGGCCGTCGTGCCGGTGCGGGCGGGCACGCCTTTGGCGCGCTCGCCGGCCGGGGCGGGCGAGGTTCGCAGTCCGTCGCCGGCGGCGGCGGTGCCCTCCGGGCGGAGGACTCCCAAAGCCATGCCGTCGCCGCTGCTCCCGCATCCGTTGGGCCCGCATCAGCCCACTGTCGCCAACGGGGAGAGCAGTACGTCGTCGTTGGATTCGGGGATTTCCTTGGGATTAACCGGAAGTCTCGAAGAAAAGCCTGATCGAAGTACGCGTTAGCGTAACTTTTAACCAGTAATTCGGGTGGATTTACATTTTTTTGCGGACGCATTCACGCAGCTATGATTTAAAAATTTTTGATTTGGATTTGCGTAATTAATTTGACTAAATTCTTAATGGATGTATTGCCATAGAAGTATGTATATACGAGTATTACGCAGAAACATAGCAAAACGAGCTAAAATCCGAACACATGGGAAATCGAAATTTAAAAAATTAATAAAAAAATTTCCGAAAACAAAACTGCGCGAATAAAATTAAAATTTGCAGAAATAAAATTTAGAAAAATATTTCTAAGATTAATAAAAATTAAACCAACGGGATCGAGGAGATGGCCGCCATCCCGGCGTCCCCGGAGCGGCCGGCGGGGTCCTGCTCCTCAATAAGGACCACCGCACCATCGCGCCTAAATCCCTGAGCGAGTCTTCCATGGACGTGCCCACTTCCACGGCGCCGACCTTCATCACGGTGTTCGCGCTGACCTCACCGGGATTAACGCGCACCAGCTCGTCGCCGCTGGTGTGGAGCGCCCCGGCGGCCGTGACGTCGACGGCCAGCACCACGGCGGTGGCGCTGACGGGGAACGTGTTGCCGGTGGCCGTCGTGCCGGTGCGGGCGGGCACGCCTTTGGCGCGCTCGCCGGCCGGGGCGGGCGAGGTTCGCAGTCCGTCGCCGGCGGCGGCGGTGCCCACCGGGCGGAGGACTCCCAAAGCCATGCCGTCGCCGCTGCTCCCGCATCCGTTGGGCCCGCATCAGCCCACTGTCGCCAACGGGGAGAGCAGTACGTCGTCGTTGGATTCGGGGATTTCCTTGGGATTAACCGGAAGTCTCGAAGAAAAGCCTGATCGAAGTACGCGTTAGCGTAACTTTTAACCAGTAATTCGGGTGGATTTACATTTTTTTGCGGACGCATTCACGCAGCTATGATTTAAAAATTTTTGATTTGGATTTGCGTAATTAATTTGACTAAATTCTTAATGGATGTATTGCCATAGAAGTATGTATATACGAGTATTACGCAGAAACATAGCAAAACGAGCTAAAATCCGAACACATGGGAAATCGAAATTTAAAAAATTAATAAAAAAATTTCCGAAAACAAAACTGCGCGAATAAAATTAAAATTTGCAGAAATAAAATTTAGAAAAATATTTCTAAGATTAATAAAAATTAAATACGATTAGTAAGATTAAATTGGCAGGGTTAATCTGGATTCTAGATCATTAAAAATTCGCTTATAAAATAAAATTAATAAGTCATACAGTTTGCAGCTCTGCTCTACTCTAAATACATACTCTACTTACATGCACATCGCCGCTTTGCCAAAGCTGGACTGTTCTTAATTGTAATTTTTTGTGCTCATTCGTTTGCAGACTCAATAAACTACCTCGTCGCTGGCCCGGCGCCTGCCGCCGCCGCACCCAGTATTGCCCAGTCGAAAACCACCAAGGCGGAGAGCTTCACCGTCATCAACACCGCCGTGGCGGCCAATCCCGCGTCCCGATTAAAAACCCCACCGATTACGCATCCGGCTAATGTAAGTTATTGTCAGACGTTGTAGTGCAGTGGCATCAGACGACTACAACCAGTTAGTCAGTATTCTTGCATTTGTCTGCCAGTCTCTTAAATTATGACTACTGCTTCCAATCGAAAATTTTTTTATAGGATAAATAAGCTACTTGTACCATAAAAACATTTTTTTTGCAGATTGAGTTGCATGAATTTATTAGGTAAAACTGTCAGGCTGTTATTATTAATAATGTTGTTTGAAAATACGCAGCTACATCTGAAGCTGAATGACGTTTTCCAATTTTTTATTGGGTAGATATTTGTAAGCTTAATTTGTCTTTGTCGAGATTAAATTAATTTAAATTTTGAAAAATTCTGTTGAAACTGAATTTGAGAAAAATCTTGCTTGCAGAATTTCTAAATTATATTCTGCAATTATCGGACGGAATAAAGGCGAAGGAGAAGGCTACCGGTTTTTGTTTTTTCACGGCTTTTTACAGTTTTTATTCGGTAGTTATTTTACAAGATGAATTTTTTAAATTCAAATTCCATAGAATTTTTACATTTAAATTTTGAAATTATATTCTACAATGTTACTGACCGAAAAGGAAACAAAAAACGGGAAATACGAAAAAAAACACGGAAAATACGAAAATATCCGACGGAAAAAAAGACGAGGCAAGAGGCTAACAGAAGAATCTCCAATTTCAGGGCCCGTTGAAAGTGGTGACGCTGGTGGAGCACAAGATCGGCAGCTGCAGCACCCTGCCGTCCTCCGAGGTCAAACTGCTCCCGCCGTCGGCGGCGGCACCGAGCGCCCAGGAGGTCCTCAAGAAGCTCCCGCCCCCCGTCACCCCCGCTCCGCCGCCCCCCACCGCCGCCGACCTGATCTCAGTCGGCGCCCCGTCGCCGCCGGCGGTGGTGGCCAATCACGTGGACGCCGTGCCCATGGAGGCCGCCAGCTGAGCGCCCACCGCCCCCCGGGAGACGGACAACGGCCATCTCAAAATGTGCCAATAAAATCCATTTGTGGTTCGCATCGGTGTGTGTTTTCGCTCAATCAGGAGTCTTGTGTGCTTCAGGGAGGATGGGGGTGTGGTTTATTGTTTGTGGGGGTACCGATTTGACCAAAAGGAGTATTGGGGCGGTTTGTTTAAATGTTTGCACTTGGAGATGTTTTTAACTCTGTTCTTTTAGCTATTTATCTCTTCTCGGTTTCTTTTTGAGTTTTGGTTATTATTTTCGCGCTTCACTGGACTGGATGTTACTGCGTCAAAAGGGATATTATGTCTTCGAGAAAAAATGCTTGTTGGGTTTTAAGATTTCAGTGTTTTTGTTTCATGTACAAAGTAAAAGTGAATTTACTGCGAGAAGTAGTTGGTCGTTCTAGGCACCGATTGTTTCACAGATTTTTAACGTTAGGGAAAATCGTGATTCAGGTGTACAAGTACGTACAGGTACAGAGACGCGGTATAATTATTATAATATAACTGTTTACAGGAACAAGTGAATATGCGGATAAGTTTTGTTCTCAGCGAGGTCACAAGTGTGCAAGGTATAAAATAGGGCATTTCCTGGACCAACATAATCATAGATTTCACAACTAATTTCTGATCACGAAGCTCGCATCAGCGATAGCGGACAGCCCGGTGTGTCAAAAAGGTTTGTACACGCTTTGAACTTTATTGTGAGAATAAGGCTCAGTAAGCGCTATTATTTTGTACATTAACCGATACTGCAGCACGCTATTACTAGGCTCCGGATGCCGGCCTGTAGAAAGAAGGATGCTCTCTATTGTTCATCGCAATACCGCTGTTTGAGCCACTGACCTTTTGCCCGCCACTTGGTTTAATTGAGTACTTGCGTACCGATGAGATTGAGATCCGCATTAGGTAAGAAATCTTACACAGACTGAGACACCCACACTTTCGCGGTTCGCAGGATGTTTTAGGATTTTACGGTTGTGTAGGACGTAGGGCGTAGTCGAACTGAAGGTTTTCATCAGGTGGCGTAGTATTACTGAATAATTGCCACCCATCGCAGCACAATCGTTCTAAAGAAACTTGTCGTTAAAATGGTGAGCCATCTTCCACAGCACGTGCTTCAAGAAATTATTTCTCACCTGGACATTCACCAGCAAGCGCGAGCCCGAAGGTAAGATTTCATATCTTTACAAACTAAACACCACTAATGCCTGAAGATTTTGAATACCTGGCGTAACTGATGCGGGCCGGGCTGTAACGGGCGAAACGGGTAACAACTGTCAACTTAGTCAACACCAAAATGATCTATCGACCATAATGTCAGATATGTGCAGTGTATACACATGACCTTTTGCATAGCAACATAGAAGTTGCCTGTCATTGTTGTGCTTTGCTGACATTCAGTCAGCGACCTGCGAGTTCGATAATAAATATACATTTATTATCACGTCACGACAAACTGGCGTGAAGGACACAAGACCTCACGCGGTCTAATTCCCTACACACCTTATAATGTCTCTCACGACATCGACATCGCCTGCTTCGCCATCAGTCCCCACGACGTCCAGCGAGAAGGCTGGATCAGGGCTGATCAAGTTTGAACCCGCGAAGATGACATGGCGATGGTGGCAATTCCAATATCAGAATTTTGTGAAACTGCGCAAGGTCACCGACCCGGAGGATCAGAAGTACCTGCTTCTGGACTCCCTTGGAATTGACGCCGGGGAAATGCTGTTTTCAATGTGTTTGCCTACGAATCCCGACAATTTCACCACTTCGCAACTTGTGGACAAGCTAGAGCACGCATTTGTGAAGAAAACAAACGCTGCTACGGAGTGGGCCAACTACTTTAAACTCCAGCAGGAGCAGGGCGAGTCGCTGCTAGAATTTTCGAACCGGCTGCGCCGAAAGGCATTTCCCTGCGGATTCCCTGCGGACGTGCTAGAAAAGAATATGTCCGCTACTTTCCTCAACGGAATTTTGAGCGACACCACACGGCAACACCTCCAGTCCCAAACGTACAACACGTTGGAGAAAGCACTGGAGATTTGTGAAGAATATGAGCTGCGCAAGTCCAACAGGAAAGGTCAGACAGCGCCGGATGTGGCGCGCGTCGACAATGCCCGGAGTGGCGGTGGCGGCACCAGCAGAGGACGCGGTCGTGGACGCGGCGGCATGCAGAACCGTAGCAGCCGTCCTGACCGAAAGCCAGCTCCCGCGAGAGATGCGTGCGATGGATGTGGCTCCATGCAGCACGAGAGGTCACAGTGCTGGGCGAAAGATCTTGCCTGCAAAAGCTGCGGTAAAAAAGGGCACATCGCGAAGGTGTGTCGGAGCGGAAAGCAACCTGCAGCGCAGCAACGAAGAGATGGGCGGCGGACATTCCTGGTGGAGGAGGAATTCGACGTCCTGTCGGTAGACACGACGGGTGGACGATCCATCCACGTACCACTCAAGCTGAACGGCGTGCCCGTGTCACCCGTACTGGACACCGGATCCAGTCTGACCATCTTTACGGCCGACACGTGGCGATCAATCGGATCACCGAAGCTGTCACCGTATACGAACACTTTACGGAGCTTCACGGGGCACACGCTGAAGGTTATTGGTACTGCGACCGTGGAAGTCACCCACGCACGCACTCGCAAGGCACTGCCGATTGTGGTTGTGGCGACAGGGGGAAACGTGCTGGGTAGGGACTGGATCCGCTCCTTGGACCTCAGCCGACTGAGTCTGCGGGACCTGCAGTCGACCATGGTGTCCACAGTTTCCGGCACACTGGAGGTGGAACAGCTGCTGAAGAAGCACAGTGCTGTTTTCCGTGACGAACTGGGCCATTGCAAACATTACAAGGCTCACCTGCACTTGAAGCCAGGCGCGACGCCTGTATTCCGGAAAGCTCGACCAGTCCCATTTGCCTTCCGCGAAGCACTGGAGCGCGACCTGGATCGCCTGGTCGAGAGGGGCATCCTTACACCAGTGGAACGGGCCGACTGGGCAGCTCCAGTGGTGACGGCGCAGAAACGGGCTGGAGACATCCGCACCTGTGCCGACCTTAGCACGGGACTCAACGACGCTCTCGACGTCCAGCAGTACCCGCTGCCGACGCCCGATGAGCTGTTCGCGAAACTGAACGGAGGGAAGCAATTCAGTCCGTTGGACCTGGCGGAAGCGTACGCCCAGGTGGAGCTAGATGAAGAAAGCAAGAGCCTGGTGGTAATAAACACGCACAAGGGGTTGTTCCGGTACAACCGACTCCCCTTCGGTGTCGCCTGCGGTCCTTCCGTGTTCCAGCAGATCATGGAGAGCGTCCTCCAGGGATGCGAGGGAGTCGCCATTTACCTCGACGACATCATTGTCACCGGGGCGACGGAAGAGGAGCACCTCCGAAACCTGGAGAAAGTCCTCCAACGCCTGGAAGAGCACGGTTTCACGCTGAAGCGCAGCAAATGCTTCTTCCTTCAGGACTCCGTGGAGTACCTGGGGTTCGTGGTGGACCACCGTGGTCGCCACATTTCCCAGGACCGCGTCAAGGCACTCCGCGACATGGCCCGTCCGACCAACATCAGCGAACTCCGAGCGTTCCTGGGTCTGGTCAACCATTACGGGAAGTTCGTTCGCGACCTGTCCGGGAAATGTGCGCCGTTCCACAACCTCCTCAAGGCCGGAGTCCCCTGGTCCTGGTCCAAGGACTGCGAAACGCAGTTCCTGTCCTTAAAGGAGCAGATTGTCCGCGCGACGTTCCTGGTTCATTACGACCCGCGGATGCCGCTGGTCCTCGCCGCGGACGCGTCGCAATACGGCGTTGGCGCCGTCATCTGTCACTGTTTCCCGGACGGAACGGAACGGCCAATCGCACACGCCTCGAAGACGCTCACAGCCGCCGAGAAGAACTATGGCCAGATAGAAAAAGAGGCCCTGGCACTGGTGTTTGGGTGCCGGAAGTTCCATCAATATATCGCTGGGCGCGAGTTCACTTTGTGCACTGACCACAAACCGCTGCTCAGTGTGTTTGGTCAACGGAAAGGAGTGCCGGTGGTGACTGCAAACCGCCTCCAACGGTGGGCGCTGATGCTGATGGGATATTCGTTCAGCATCGAATACCGCCGCACCGAGGAGTTTGGCCAAGCTGACGGACTGAGCCGCCTACCACTGCATTCGACCCAGCTGGATGGCCTGCCCGGCCTGGGGATGGACAGTGTGGTCAACGCTGTCCACGTCGACAACGTGTCGCGTTTTCCGGTGTCGGTGGAAGCGATTGCCGAAGAAACGGCCAGAGATCCGGAACTGTCCACCGTGTATGGATACGTCATGAACGGCTGGCCGTCGACGGTTGATGCCCTAGCGCGTCCCTACAAGCGACTTGAGCATGAGCTCGTCACCATCAACGGCTGCGTATGCTGGGGATCCCGGACCGTCGTGCCATCGAAACACCGGCAGCAGATCCTGGAATACCTTCATGGCGCCCACATGGGGCGGGGAAGATGAATGGTGAAGCGCGAGGATACTGCTGGTGGCCTAACATGGACAAGGACATCGAACGAATGTCCAGTGAATGCCAAATCTGCACTGAACGCGCGAAGGAAACGGCCAAAGTCTCCCGCTGGCGCAGTGGGAAGTGCCGCATGCACCTTGGAAGCGGCTCCATATGGACTTCGCCGGTCCATTTCACGGCACAATGCTGCTGGTGATTGTGGACGCCATGTCGAAGTGGCCGGAGGTGGTCCAGATGAAACACGCCACGTCCGACGGCGTTCTGGAGGCCCTCCTGAACCTGTTCAGCCGTTACGGAGCCTGCACCGAAATCGTCACCGATAACGGTACGCAGTTCACCTCGCAAGAGTTTGCCGATTTCTGCACGGTTCACGGCATCCGACATCTTCGGACTCCACCTGGCCACCCACAGTCGAACGGCCAGGCGGAGCGCTACGTTCAAACTTTTAAGGACGGAATCAGCAAGCTGATTGCCGACCGGAAGCCATTGCCCACAGCTCTGCGGGAATTCCTGTTCCGGTACCGCAACGCGCCACAGGCCACAACTGGCAAGTCGCCAGCGGAACTGTTTCTGAGCCGCAAACTGCGTGGTCAGCTGGACTTGCTGGTGCCGGTGCTGATGACAACAATAGAGCGTAACCGGAAGCGTTACCAGCAAAATTTCGACCAACGGACACAGGAGAAGCATTTCCAAGTTGGCGATTACGTAATGGTACGTGATTACCGTCCGAATCGCGCAGTTGACTGGCAGCGTGGACAGCTGGTCAGACGTGAAGGTACCCGCATCTGGGTTGTCCTGGTCAACGGAATTGACCTGCGAAGGCACGAAAATCAGATGCGACCGAGGCATTGGCTGCACCCAGACGAGCGTGCACTACCGAATCCGCCAGCTGCACTTGTCGCACCTGCCGCACCGAAGACACCGGATGTACCGAAAGTACTAGTCGCATCGCCAGTGCAGACGGCTGCACTGCCTAACGATGCCTTTCCGGAAGCGGTCACAAAGCAGGATGCTGGTGGACAGATCGCTACTGGTAAAGCACCTGAACTTACATTACCGAATGTTGATAGCGCCAAACCAGTGAAGCCAGCGAATGTGAAGAATGCTAAGAAAACGCCACGCGTTCCTGAAGCGATAACTGATACCAGTTCTCAACTGAAGCCACCGGAACCAGAAGTGCGACGAAGCGGAAGAGACAGAAAAGAACCGGATCGACTAATCGCGGATCCGAAATTCGGGCGCTAGCTTTGTTTTGGCTTTAGCTGAGTGGGTCTCCCCACTGGGGGAGGTGTCAGATATGTGCAGTGTATACACATGACCTTTTGCATAGCAACATAGAAGTTGCCTGTCATTGTTGTGCTTTGCTGACATTCAGTCAGCGACCTGCGAGTTCGATAATAAATATACATTTATTATCACGTCACGACACATAAGAAACCTTACCAAACAGTCATCTTTATTGTCTAAGTATGGTAATCATTGTGCTTCCGTGTCAAAATATTAATTTTCAGCTTATTGTGTTTGTACCTGTGTACGTGTGAAGTTAAGAATAAATGATAATTACTGCTGCTGTCGGTTTAAAACGTATTCCCCTTCGAATCCCCCAAAAATTATTATCGCGTCAAACTACTAACCTATCCCAGAGTTCCCGTTGACAGACAATCAAGGCGATTAATTGCTCCGGCGCTATTGGGCTACTGCATATTTTTTTACGCTGCCGCCCCTCGTGCGCCGCGCCCAGAATAAATTTTAGGTTTCCTTATCATCTCTGCATTCGAGCTTAGATCCCACAACCATTCGCGCAAGTGTATAACAGACCATCGTAAAACTTGTGTCTAATATCCTCGTATCCATGCAAGTATAAAGGTTATTACAATTAACTGTTCGCTTACAGAGTGTGTTCATCATGGAATACAATTATATCGCGAAGTAAGCTAATTGGTCATGTGGAGATCAGCTGTCGAGTTCAAAAGGGCGGTTATGTACCTTACGAATACCGCCGACACCAGGAAGCGGAAGCAAAACTGTCCACTATGCTGCAAACGACTCTAACCGGTCGCACCAAGATTCTTACACTTCGTCACTTTATTCCCAACCACTACCAAATTCGTCACTTGCTGAGCATCTTTAAAAACAACGGTGTATCGTTGCTGTTGCTGTGCCTGAAAGACTGCGAAGCGCAAACGGAGAACGCCCTGTGTCCGTGGTTCTGGCATCGTAGCGAGGAAGTCCTTCCCGAGTACTGGCACCGCGGTAACAGGGGGGAAATCCCTCGTCGTCTTCAGTGGATATGCTGCCGTTCTCATAAGTGCAATTTATCGCTACTGTGGAGCAGTCAGCGCTGCCGTTGGCTGCGCCTGGACAATTACAAGATTCGCAACGTGGCAGATCTTGATGCGATAAGTACCGAGTGTTGTCGCTTTAGTTCTAGCCTTCTCCTGCCCGTAACAATCGTCCGCACCGACGTGGACTGTCTTGCGGATCCGAAGGATATTTTTAGCAGTTTGATCGCGGTTCTGAGTGATGGATTCTCCGGGGTCAATGATGACATCCGGCGGAGGGTGGCTGCGACGATTAAAGGCTGCTTAAACTACTGCAAGAACGGAGGAGACAGATCGAGCTATCGTCACTTATTGCTGTTTCGATGTGTGATCAATGTGTAAGTCATGCGCTCGTTTAAACTTTTTGCCCGTTTTAGTTCGTCATATCTCGGTAACCAGATGTTGCGCACTCAAACGGTTTTCAGAACAATGCATACAAATTACTTAGCTTTAGAATGGCATAAATTATTGCAAAAAAGTGATTCGGAGTGCGCGAAAGCAAAAGTTTTAGTATGTATCCCATTTTGTACCGGGCCTCCTAATTAGTTTATTCCTAGAATCGCGCAATTACTCCACTTTACAAGTAATGGATTCGCTGTCGAGTGTATTACCCCCGAAATGCTGTTGCAGGTTTCAAAACCAGTTTACGGAACCCACACTTCTTATATATCGGGGCGATTACAACGACTTGCGTTCGTTGGATGTGAGTTGCTTCAATCGTTTGACCCGGGCGGTTTTGGATGGCATCTGCGACCTTATCGCTACTGAACAGTATCACCGTTTTGCCGGTGTTGCTTATCAACCATAATACGCGCCGACAAAGATCGGATGTCAAAGCCTCAATGGCGTATGGCTTCCTGGGCTTTTTTCATTTAACTCATTATTTTAGGGTTAGAATTACAAATAATCTGCAATGCTGTATGTTTTGGAGATGCAAAATTTGACCATAACGATTAGTTTGCAGGCGTTGTTTACTTTGCAGTATGTAAGCGTTTTCCACTGGTACTTTCGTTATTTATCAGTAATATTTATCTATTTTTGATTTGTTGTTCGTATCGCTAGAACGCTTGTACTGCATTCTGTGCGTTGCGATGATATGACGTGTTTTCGACCATCATGTTTTTGACCTTGTCTGTTTTTTTCTTTCGTTCAAATGTTTAACGCGCGTTGTTGGAGAAAGTTACGAAGGAACATTGTGGTTTATTCTGTGGCGAGGAAACAGAACATGATGAAACGCTGATTGGTGTTAAAGCACAAACACAACTGTACAAATAATTATACACTTTCATTGTTACCAATCTGTTATTTTGGTTGTGATAAATTATTACTGACAAAGGGCACTGGAATTGATTTCGACTTCGCGAAATTCGACAAAAATGTGAAACTATGTACTTAAAGTTATAATTTATTGAACGCTTTAGAAGGTGAACTTGCATAAGCGGCTTGCATGGCAATTGGGATCGACCTGATGGTCAGCTCTCGCAGAGGGCTGCTACTGCGAAAGGTCGAGCACACGTGGTGAGCGTGCAACGTTGACCACCACTGAATCCCATGTAATCAGTGCATCCTTCAACAACACGTTTACGACAACGACAGTGTGAGGAAGAAACGCTAAAAAGCGGCGGAATGAAAACAGGGCTTAGGCGAGAAAAGGGAGAAGCCGCGGGAATATTGAATGGACACCGACCAGTGCACGAACGTCCGCTGCGGCATAATTTCGACGGCAACCACCAGCAAGCTTAGCACATCCCGGAGCATAACAGCAGCTGCCGAAATAGCGGAGCTAAGAGAACGCGGAACGAGAGGCGGTAAATTGTCATTTTAGCCGGCTCCTGGAAGTATACTGCCGATTGGATGCAGAGTCAGAAGGAATGGCGATCATGAGAAGGAGCGTGCGTGAACGGCGTTAAGAAGCATGCAGTGGCAAGTGCAAAGCGAAATCGTTTTGCGAATCCTGTCTACCAGTAGAAGTATGGTACAGTTCAGAAAATGAATGCCACATTTCCGGGAGCATGATGCATGTTTTGTCCTTCCAGTTCCCACCGATATAATTTCTGCGTAATGGTACAGGTAGCGCGCAATTAGCGCAGTGTTAGCGCACAACATGCCACAGTAACCACACCACATGAATTAGTATGTTTTTCGCTGTACAGATACGCAGGAAATTTCAGGACTGGCTGGCATACCTACAGATAGCGCTCCGCCCAACAATTTACTTCAGCTATTTATGTTGTTACTTAATTACAAGTAAAAATGCCGGGAATCCATCCTGGGAACGGCACCGGCCTCGGCTAATTTAGATCAAAAGTTCTCTGTAATCCGGCCGCATGTTTCTGCTGTTTGTTAATATTACGATGTGATGTTTCTTTTGTGAATTGTAAGCTTGTCTTTGTATTCGATCAATAAATCAGTGATTCAAAAAAAAATAAAGATGCTGGTTGTTGTCGCAATGTTGTATCACCGCGCTTTCACTTTTCCGTTGTTTTGGTTGGCAGTAATGCACTAGCTAGGCAAAAACGCATGAAGAAAATGCCGATTTGTAATTTCAAAAATTTATTTTTGGGAAGGTAACCCGGCATTTTAAAAACAGCAAAATTCATATATATGAAGTACACTGCCCACACGCAGCCTGAAATTAAATAAACTTTTGATAGGGCACCAAACTTTATCGCTGCATTCTTGCATTAAAAAATATGGTCGAGATATCTAGTTCTCTTGTATTCGTAATATGCTAATCTACACAACTACGCAGAGCAGCTGACCTCTCGCATAATTATCATGCACGTTACGCACGTAATTTCGGCATGCATCCGTACTCATACGAGTATGTGTTGTTTAAACAAGGAGAACTACGCTCAAACTCTTGCGCTTGTAATAATTTTCAGGATCCTTTTCGCAATCGCAGTTTTGTGGACGGTGCTAGACACCAATTTCAATGTAGTATGTATTTCTCGTGCAATAAAGTTCCTGATAACTATGCGTGAAGTTTTTGTTTAAAGATTGTGTACCAACGTGAATAAAGGTCATGATAATACTTAACTGTTCACAGGGTGTGCTCATCGTGGAATACTGTTATATCGCAAAGTAGGCCTCATAGTTGTGTGGATGTCAACTACCGACGTCAAAAATGCGGTTGCATTCCATACAATTTCCGTCTGCTACAGGCAGCGGAAGCGAAACTGCCTGATTATGCTACGAGCAACCTTTACCAGTCGCACAAAAATCCTTACACTGCGCCACTTCATTTTCAACTATTACCAAACTCGTCAGCTACTCAACGTCTTCAAAAACAAATATGCAAAGGTACATACCGATTACCAGAACAAAACTGAAGTTTGCGTAAAGCCCCAAACATGCAAGGGATGCGCATGCCTATACTACGTATTCGGCCGGGACGTTCTACCCATACTTTAGGGCAGTACAGGCATACGTGCCGCATTTTACCGGAGGATTGTCGCATCACTCGCATGGTTTGTAATGTCAGCCGGTTTCAGACGAATTCGAAAGCAGTTGAAGAAAAACTACAGTAGATATACATTTTAGATTTATTGCTCTTGCTCAGCTGAGTCGTTAACTTTATGAAGATTGACTCAGAATGGAGCGGAGCATTAATAAACTGTTTCATTCTTACTTATTCGTTTTCACAAATAAAAGCTACAAAAGCTGTGTGTTGCATTTCCTTACTGGGAATTATGTACGTTCAGCGGCTTCACAACAAGGAATGCACAGGGAAGCGTGGGGTGGTAGCTCACAACTTCACATAGCTAGGCAGGTTTTTTTTGTCGTTTAATTGTACACATAGAATCCACACCACAAGCTGAGATGGAACAAGTAAATAATTGTGTCGATATTTTTCGTTCTCAAGGAGGTCACAAGGCTACGAGGTGCAGAATAAGGCAATCCCCGGAACTACATAGTGCTTACACAAATGTCTGACCACGAAGTAGATATCAAAAGTACATACTAGCACCAATTCATTCTTTTATAATGTAGAATGTTCGAACCTTCTGAGTGTGACACACTGGTCTGTCCGCTTTTACATAAGCTACAATGGTGATCGCTACAATGGTCACTGCAACACTTGGCTAAGGACGCCTGTAGAAAGAATGCCTTTTCATTGTTCGTAACAATACCGCAGAACTGACCTTTTGTCCACCTGAAAGTTTCTCTAGCTAAATGCATGCACCCTGGAGCGAATGAAATCTGAAACTGCTAAAAAAGCTGCGCAGCAGACCCCACCAGGCACTTCGAAAACTAAAATTTTGAGGTACCGTAACTTACTGTTTTGTATGTGGTAGTCGAATTAAAGTTTTTACTCTGTACTCTCTCTGTATCAGTATCCCGTTGCGCTGTGTTACTGTTTATTGACATCGCCCACCTTTCATCTGTCTTATCATAACTCAGGCAACGAGACATCCAAAAGTTTTGAAAATGGTGGACTTTTCTAATCTACCGCATCCCCTGCTTGCCGACATTTTTTCTTATCTGGACATTCACCACCAAGGAAGAGCCCGAAGGTAAGAGCAGTATTTCAGCACTGCATATCTTAATACTAAACAATGCGGGGCTGACATCTTGAATAAACAGATACGAGCAGCAATTAGGTGTACAAATAGAGATCCACTCAACGTTTTAGTTTAATTTCACTTCCGGAAAACACCACGGCCGTGCCATTTGAGTACAACTTGCAAGTATGGATTTTCGGTTGTTTCCTGAACGATGTATCATGGCTCTTCCACTTTTCTATTATTTTGATTGTACAATCCCCAAAATACAATTCCCGAGAATTAATTTTTTTTGCTGTTGAAAAACTCTAATCTCAGGAGTTTGAGCGTAGTCCTTCTTATCGGAATGACATGTACGAGTTTGGATATCGAACTTACGTGCGCAATGTGTATCCCAGTTATGGGAAAGGTCAGCTGCTTTGTGTAGCTGTAAACGCCCCGGGTCGGGCACAACGGATAAAATTCTAACAAAGCTTAGCAATAAAGCATAAGGTCAGCGTACTTGCGTGCCAAGAAAGAAACCAAACATTGAAGTGGAACAAATGCAAAATCATTATAATTGTTTAATGCATGAAATGCCATAAATGTTATGTGAATTGTCGTCCAAACCAAGATTACCTTTTTCTGATAACTTACTATAGCAGCTAGATGAAATTGTACCGCTGTCAATTTTTTTTGCTTCAATCCGATAATTTACGTGGTACCGTACCATACATGTTGAGTGTGCGTACTCTGTATGTAAAATCTGGTCCAAATAATCATACGAACTTATCTGCACAAGAATTTTTGCTGATGTGCGCATGCGACGCCGATCGGCGTACATGGTATACCATGTACCGGCTAGGCCGCTAGGGCACCATGTACCCAAATTTGGTACCAGGTGCCGCGAAGCCGGCACATCATGTACATGGCACCAAATTCGGGTACATTTGCTGGAACTTTCGCTTTCACGCACTCCCAAACGATTTTTGCGTTTGTTTATGACATTTTTTTGGTACGCCTCCGTGCATTTCAACTTTTGGAATTTCGATAACTCCCCAACCGGATGTTGCGCGTACGAGCAGTTCGCAGGTCAATGTATAAAAACCTCTTGGCTATAGAATGTCGTAAAACAATGGAAAAAATAAAAAAGTATTTGGGAGTGCGCGAAAGCGAAAGCTTTAGCACGTGTGCCAGAATTTGATACCATGTACCGGCACACTAACACAGGGTCCTGACGCTGTGTTAGTGATACGCTGATACAATATCACAAGGCAAGCTGATACGCTATCACAGAAATCTGGTTTAAGTAAAGTTAAATGGATTCCTGTTATGTCGCGTTTTTGGGCGGCTGCCGCTTACGCGTCGCATGAAGCTTACACGGAGCAGTTGACCCCTCGGGATAGCGCACGTTAGAAACCTCGGGGGGTCTTCACCTCACTTTGCATTTTCGCAGACATACCGAAGTTTTGCGCAACCTAAGTTTTGAACCCATTCAGCGTAGTATTCCCCGTAAGACTGTTTTGTAGCATCCTCGTACCAATGTCAGTAAGAGTCGTAATATTTAACTGTTCACAGAGTGTGTTCATTGTGGAATACGGTTATATCGCAAGGTGTGCGGAATTCTCATGTGGAGATCAACTGTCGAGTTCAAAAAGGCGGTTATGTAGCGTTCGATCTCCGTCAGCTCCAGGAAGCGGAAGCGAAATTACC